AGTGGTGTCTCATTGTGGTTTTGCTTAACATTTCCCTAATGACTAGATGTTGAGCATCTTTTCTTTCTTCCTTCCTTCTCTCCCTCCCTCCCTCCTTCCTCTCTTTCTTTCTTTCTTTCTCTCTTTCTTTCTTTCTTTCTTTCTTTCTTTCTTTCTTTCTTTCTTTCTTTCTTTCTTTCCTTCTTTCCTTCTTTCCTTCTTTCTTTTGTTTTATTTGTTTGCCAGACAGAGAGAGAGAGAGATAGCAGGAGCACAAGCAGGGGGAGTGGGAGATGGAGAAGCCGGTGCCCCACCCAACAGGGAGCCTGACACAGGGTCGATCCCAGGACGCTGGGATCATGACCTGAGCCGTCCAGGCATCACGAGCATCTTTTCATGTTGGCCGTTTATGCGTTGTCTTTGAAGAAATGTCTATTCAAATATTTTGCCCATTTTTAAAGTGGGTTATTTGTTTTATTATGAAGTTTCAAGATTTTTTAATGTATTCGGAATGAATTAACTATTCATTTGTAAACGAATTAGATATATGATTAGATACATGATTTGTCAATATTTTCTCCCAGACTATGGGTTGTATTTTCACCCAATTGATGGTGTTTTTTGTCATGCAAAAGTTTTAAACTTTGATGAGATCCAATTTATCTATTTTTTTCTTTTATTGCTTATGCTTTTGGTGTCGCATGTATGAAGCCACCGCCTAACCCAGAGTCAGAAGGAGTTACTCCAATGTTACATAAGAGTTCTAACTTTTACATTTATCTCTGTGATTCGTTGTGTGTTAATTTTTGTGTATGGTGTGAGAGGGGTCTGACTTCATCGTCTTGGTCATCCTATGTTCCTTGAATTGCCATATGAATTGTAGAATCAGTGTGTCGGGCTCTGAAAACAAGTCATCAGTTGGAGAGGTCAGAAGTGGTTTCTGGAGATTCTGGAGAGATGCAGCCAAAGGCAAAGGCAGGACTGGGACCTGGGGCAAGCCCTGTGTTCATGCTGGAGAAGCTGACGGCTGCGCTTGGGGAAGGAAAAGCTTGAGTTCTGTGAGAAGCTGATGTTGTGAGCAGGGATGGAGCGGGAAGAGCGTCCGTGGGATCGCAGAGGGAGAGTGGGTGGGGCGGAGGGAGCGTGCACGGTGATGGAGGGGAGGCTGGGGCGCAGGCGAAGTGCGGGAGCCCCCACCAGACAAGGAGGGAGTCAGTGTAGTGGCGCACAATGGGGCTGTGGCGTAGACATTGGTGGCGATCGTCCACCCACCGTTGTGGCGGAGGGTGATAGGCAGAGGCCAGTCGGAGTGGGGAGTGAGGAGTGAAGTTAGCAGACTTCAGTCCCTTAAGAAACATGGCTGTGCAGGAGTGGAGGTGGCGTGGTAGCCGGGCTGGCGCGTGGAGTCCAGACAGATAGTGTTCTTGAAACGTGGATGCCTCAAGCCTGTTGAAGAGTTGAAAAGCCCCAGGAAGGGTCCGGTTTAGAGGCAGTGATCAAATATTCGAGAAGAATATGGCTGATACTCTAGGTACCCTTTAATCAGTAGTGGGAAGGAGGGGATATCAAGCCCAGATGGAGACGTTAGCTCAACTAGCATGCAAGACCTCCCTCCCCGTGCTGGGGACAGAGCAGGGACAGAGAAGGGCTGGGACTGAGGAGCTGGCATTTCCTACTAAGTGGTGAGAACTTCTGATAAATGTGTGTTGGTGCTGCGGGAGTGTAGGAGAGCCCAGACGTGGGCTCTCTGCGTGAAGACCATTCCCCCTTTGCATGCTTGCTGAGGGGTGAGTGGTGACACCCTCTGGTTCCAAAGGCAGCCCACAGTCACCAGAGACACAAAACCTAGTAAAGACTATAAAAAGATTTTGACTTTTTGCAACAACCCCCGGAACCCTTGCTCAGGTTTCTTGTCTTCTGTTCTTATCTTGGGGAGGGTCAGGGAGGTTTTGAACTGAAGAAGGTACTAGGCTGTCAGTGCTGAGGCAGGGCTAGAGGGAGCCTGGTCCAGGATCCCACTAGGAGGACTTATCATTCTGTGTGGGGTCCTCCAAGAGCCTTTGGGGTTGGGAGTGGGCACAAAACACCGCGTCTGGGAGGAGAAATGGGCCCAAAGTTTCCCAGATGGGCTGTCTGGGGTTCTCCCCAGATATGGGAAGGAGGGCTTCATGCTACCTTTTCAGGGGCCTGGCTGGGCTGCTTGCAGGCCTGCAGTGTTCTGAGTTGGGGTGGGTGGGTGTCATTAGCAGACAGACCTGGGTCTAGCCTGGGTCATGGCTCTGACCCAGTGGAGGGAGATGCCAAGTGAACTCTCAGGAGGGTCTCAGGAGGGTCTCCTCAGGAGGGACCCACGTGTATCTGCTAAGAGGTCCTGGTTGCTTTCCAGAGCTTATCTGTCCACTAGAGTCCTGTCAAAGTAAGTTTGGGGCCTCTGTGGGGACAGAGGCTGGGAAGCACGGAGCAGACAGAATGTGCAGTGACAAGTCATGGCCAGTGTCCCTGTCCTTGCCACCTGCTCCAAGCGGCTTGTTTGCTGTTTGTGTCTACAGGCAGGGCTTCAGAAGAACCCACTGGAGACCTAAAAACGGAACCTGTCTTGAGGAAAACGTGCTTTTCGCTTGCAACTCCTGATGATAAAGGAAGTGATATTCTCATGCATTCCCTGTGCACCGGACATGGAAATCTCACTTTGCACACATGCTCTAAATCCCCAGATGGTTCTTTCCTCCCACTTTGTGTGTGGATGGAGAAGGTGACTTGCCGGTCAGATGTGGGGCCAGGAGCCAGATCTGCATTACCCCTGCCTCTCTGCCGCCCTTGTTGTGTCAGCTGGCTGTAGGACTTCTAGAAGTTGCATCTTGATGGGACCCCCGTGTCTCTGGCCTGGGGGCTCTGTAGTTGTTTTGGGGGTGTGGGGGTTTCCTCTGTGCAAGCTGGGGTGCTAGTTGCTCAGGACATGCCGGCAGGAGGGGTCTTGCCTGTGGTGGAGCCTGGCCACACGCACTTCCCAGTGGGGACAAAGAGGGTCGTGGGGGTGGTTCCCAGCAGCAAGAAGCACAGCTGCCCTTTACTGGGCTTCTCATAATGACTAGAGTTTGTTGCCAAACATTTCCCAGGAAAAGAAGGAAATTGCATTAAGGTAAATCTGGGAGCTCATAAGTGAGGTTCTGGCCTTGGGGGTGTGTGTCTTGTTTTCCGTCTCCATCCCGGGGCAGGGCACTAAGTGCATCATGAGGGCGTCTGAGGCCGTAGACCCTCTGTTTGGAGGCAGGAGCTCTGTTTGGAGGTGGTCATGCTGGAGCAGCGTGAGCAGGTTGCCTGAGCTGCTGTGAGGCTCCAGAGCACTGGGCTCTACCTGCTGATCCCCCGGGGCAGGCGAGAGGGGCACACAGACAACCAGACGTCCCCTCACAGACACTTGCAGCTCACCTTGGCTGGGCTCCCCTGGGAAGCAGGCGAGACTGAGGGCAGAAAGAGCTTGTCCCCCCTCAACTTCTAGGGTGCCCTGCTAGGGTGTGAGGAGAAGGGAACCGTCCCACTCCTGCCAAGATCTTAGGGTCTACTTCCTCTCCTGTAGCTGCTGGGGAGACGAGCTGCGGTTACCTCATGCATTTACACGCGTGATGGTGACCGAAAATTCCGCCCGCACCTTGCAGCTCAGCCGCAGGGGCAGGTTCTTCCTGGGAGGCCCATGTGGAAGGTCAGCCCCCTGCGCTCTGCAGCCTGGGGTCTCCCAGCTTCTGCCTTCTCCAGAGCTGACAAGGGAAACTCTTCTCCCCTTGTAAGTGTGATGGGTGACTCTTGTGTCTCGCCTACTGGATTTCCTTCCTCCCCCACCGTGGGACACACCCTCTTCCTCACGCCTGTGGCATCTTCCTGGGGAGTTCAGGGCGATGCCCCACGTTTCCAACAGAGGCTTGGGAATGGGAACACCCAGTGGGTGGCCTAGTCCCATTTGGAGCGTGCCGTTGACTGCTGGGCACCCACCCAGGAAGACCCACGCTGCTCACACTTCCCTGAAGGAGGCCAGTTCTTGCAGGGTCCCCTGCAGGGGACCCAAAGTTCAGTGAGAGGGAGGCACACAGTAGGTGCACACAGTAGGTGTCAAATCCTGGTGTTTTTACTCATTCATTTGAAGACCTTGCATTAGGCCATCTCCTTGACAACCAATCTGTTTCCCTCTGTGCTTGTGCTCCTTGAGGTCACAGGAGGCCCTTTAATGGGATGGAGACATTTTCAGACGAGAGGATGCTCTGGCCAGAGCCACAGGGCTGCCTGGGGCAGGAGTGGTGGAATTTTAGGAAAACTGCATTTGGAGTGTGTGTCAGAAGCATGAGGGAAAGAAAGATAATGGGTATGACAGCCCAGTGCTGACCTACCTGCAGCAGGACCCAAACTCACTTCTAAAGAGAAGCAGAGAGCATGGCACAGGAACACTCACTTCCTGTTTTTATTGTTGGTACTTAATGACCTTCCTTGAAACGCTGCCGTGGTAGAAAGCTAGTTGTCATGGAAACAGGGAGTGCCATGCAGGGAATAGGCATTTCTTTGTCATGTCCAGCTGATGCCTTCAGCCTCTGCTCAGACATGTGAATTTATGTGCGGAATTAAATATTAACTGGAGACATTGCCCTGGAGAGAGACAGAAACAGGGAAAGGAAAGATGGCGGGGACCGGGGCAGAGGGGAGGCCAAGTGTCCGCCCCCCCCCACTTGTGCCAGCCCCCTGCTGTGGCAGCTGTTAGTGGAAACCACACCCACTCTGAGGCAGGTTCTGGAGAGACAGAGCAGGGGCACGGGGTGCTGGAGGCCTCTGAGGAGCATCCCAGAGACCAGTTTTCCTCAGAGAGCTCCTGGTCCTTGTCCCTGGAACTGCCACGGGACCACGACCTTGCACATCCTTCCAGTGATTCCAGAAAAAGGGGATTGCATAAATGCTGTGGAAAAAGCTGTCCAAGTTTCCCATCTCCCTTCCACCCCATTGAGCTGCCTTCATTAAGTTTTCTTTTTCTGACCCCTCAGAAAATGAGTTCCGGGGTGAGCTGCTGAGTCAGAGGTGGACACAAGGAGACAAAGCCAGCAACTGCAGGACCTCGAGGCTCCTCCTGGGCAGACACGGCAAGGTGAGGCGCTTGGAAGGCAGCCGCTTTCCTGCCACCGGCACCCCCACCAGGGTCTGGGCAGGGGTCCTTCTCTCTTCCAGGCATGGGGCATGGAGGTGACTTTCAGTCTGGCTGCCATTACTCTTGAGCAGATAGAAGGTTAATTGGGGGGTAGACCATCGGTGATCTGGTCATGGCAAACTTCAAAGAAGACCTCAGGCCAAGTCCCTGCTCTGGGTCTGGTGACACCTGGGCTGCCTCTGGAGCTGTTCCCTGCCGGACAGACCGAGGATCATTGGGAGACTTTGTTGCAGGAGCTCCTAAGGTCTGTTGGCCTTGCTTATTCCCATCGTCCCAAGTGGAGGCAAATGACACACGCTTGCTCAAACCTGCCTGGGTCTCACTGATGGAGGTGACTCAGGCTCCTTGCCTCGCCAGAGATGCTCCAAACCCAGGGTATGCCATGTGCTTACAGCCACACCAAGCCTCCAATTCTAGAACCTCCCAGGATGCACTCTGGGTGAGACTGGCTTCCCAGGGTCTGGTGACCCTCAGAGGTGGGAGGAGAGGTGACAACAGGCTTTTGGGCATTCCTTTCCAGACCTCAGAGTCCTGTCTCCATTTTCTTCACATGGAGATGTCCTCATCAAGGATCGTAGCCCTGATGCAGGGCATGGCCATCCAGATGTGATGGCCCTGGGTGTGGACAGGAAGGGCTAGAAAGGTTGAGGCAGCAAGATTATTTGAGGATGTTTGTCGTTCCCTTTGAACCTGGTGACTAGAATATACTTTCTAATGGGCTTCTCCTGGCACCTTGTTAAGCACCTTCACTCCCACTTTTTTTTTTTTTTTAAGATTTTATTTATTTATTTGACAAAGAGAGATCACAAGTAGGCAGAGAGACAGGCAGAGAGAGGAGGAAGCAGGCTTCCCGCTGAGCAGAGAGCCTATGTGGGGCTCGATCCCAGGACCCTGAGATCATGACCTGAGCTGAAGGCAGAGGCTTTAATCCACTGAGCCACCCAGGCGCCCTCCACTCCCACTTTTATTCCTGTAGGCTTGTCGGCGTTCTACCATGTTGAAGCCTGAGGCAAAAGGAAAAGTCGGTAGTAACGATCCTATCTTTATTTAAACTTTGGGTATTTTGTTCATCATGGATTTTTGGCATTAATTTTGATATTTTGAAATAGTCATTAAACTGTTTATCTTGATGACTAAGTTTTTGTTTTCCACCTTAAATTTGCACCTGGGTACAAATGCCTCACTCATCTCTTCCCAGTGTTGAGCATTCAGACAGAGGTTAGGGCCTCTGGATGACATGTCTTGACCATTGTTGGAGGTGTGTGATGTACAGCGCCAGCTGTGAGCAGCCTGGTGGTCCATGATCAGGTTTTCCTGGCAACAACTGCTCTGTTACAGTCTTCCTTCTAGTTTGGGCAGATAGGGCCTGAGTTACTGTTCTGAGCAGAGACACTAAGAGGCCGGAGAAGGAGGGAGGATGTGCCTTTGACAGGGTGGGTTTCCAGAAGGACTGCAGGGCTGGCCCCAGTGGTATGAGCTCACTGAGCAGGCTAGGGGAGTCCGAAGCAGGAGGTAGTGGTGGCCACGGGAGAGTAGAACATCACATAGCCAGGGTGGGCTGACTTTCTATGGGGGGTGGTTGATGTGGACCTCTGTGTCTGGAGGGTGGAGTATAGTACTCACGGCCGGCTGTCTGCTTTGGGTTCAGCACCAGGCATGCGGACAGCTCAGAGATGGGCTGAGAAGGGCTGTTCCGAGATGGTTGTGGGTTTGGGGAAAGTGCTGGGCATTGCACTGTTTATTTTTATTTTTTAACTTAAGGAGAAAAGAAGTAGGCATTGATGGTAGGTCCTTAAATCACTTCTTGACATTAAGAATGAAACATTTGGTCTCCAATCATGTAATATTCAATGGAGAAGTCCAGATACGAATCCAGGAGAAGGCTGACTGCATGGAGGTCTAGCAGTCCTTCTTCCTGACAAGGGAGGGGGTGCCACTGTGCATGACCTTTCTGGCCTGCTTCACTGGTTGTGACTACACTCCTATCCTCGGGTAGAAATCCCATTCATGTTGGAGTTTCAAACAGAGGGACCCGACACAGAGATGTTGTATCAGGGTGTCTACCACATAGCTGCAATTTCAAAAGAAAGATTTATTTATTTATTTGAGGGAGTGGGAGTGAAGGGGAGAGTGCATGTGAGCAGAGGAGGGGCAGAGGCAGAGAGAGAGAGAGAGAGAGAGAGCACCTCAAGCAGATCCCCTGCTGAGCATGGGGCTCGACTCAGGGCTCTAACTCGGGACCCTGAGACCATGACTTGAGCCAAAGCCAAGGGTCGGATGCTCAACCAACTGAGTCACCCAGGTGTCCCTACAGCTATAATTAAAAAAAAATCATTAATTAGGGGCGCCTGGGTGGCTCAGTGGGTTGAGCCTCTGCATTAGGCTTGGGTCGTGATGTCAGGGTCCTGGGATCGAGTCCGCATCGGGCTCTGCTCAGTGGGGAGCCTGCTTCCCCCTCTCCCTCTGTGCCCGCCTCTGCCTACTTGTGACCTCTCTCTCTGTCCAATAAGTAAATAAAATCTTAAAAAAAAATTATTAATTAGATTTCAATTTCCAATACAATTAACACAGTGCGATATTAGTTTCAGGCATACAATAGAGTGACTCAACAGTTCTCTGCATTTCTCAGTGCTCTTCACCCCATGGCTGCTCCCACCCGTGCCCCCAGCCGCGTTTCCTCTGGCAACCACCAGTTTGTTCTCTACAGTTAAGAGTCTGGGTTCTTTTGTTTGTTTGTTTGTCTCGATAGAACGATCATTTTCAATTTGGGGGTTGGAGTGGGCCCTAATCCCCTGTCAGAGATGTTAGGAAAACCTCTCCCAAGACACATGTTAAATAATACCCCCTGGGGTGTCCTTTCTACAAATCAGGGAGAAGCTCTATTCCATTGCCAGTGGGCCGAGCAGTGGGTGGAATGTCAGCAGAACTTCAGAGACACAGTGGGCCTCCCCCCAGAGGGGGACAGAACTATCATTTCAAGGAGCCAGGGGTGCTGTGGCGGCCGCGGTCGGGGGTCAGGTGTGTGGGCATGTGGTTTAGCCTCACGGAGCAGGGAATGGAAATCGGAATGTGTGCGGAGGGTTCCTGAGGTGGTAGAACTTGTATGTCTTTGAAGAAGAAGGCTGCCCTTCAGGCTGACCTTGACCAGGTTTGCAGGTGCGTGTTCAAAAAACGGGAACCAGGGAGGTTGTGTAAGTAGACTGGGACTGGGGATGGGGGCTCTGAAGGGTTCCACCGGAATGCTCGGTGGGAAGAGGCAGCAAGGAGCACCCTTGAAGGCTGGGCCTAAATCCTTCAGTGGTGGGAACATGGGTCTATGGAAGGGCTTCCTAGTGGTGCTGTGCGAGTGGGCATTGCCCCTGGCTGCTCACACTTCAGAGAATCAAACAAACCCAGCTTGCTGCTTCTCCCTGCCACGCCTGTTATGTTCCTCTGCCCTCCTCATCCCATGTCACCCTTCCTTCTAGGCAGGTTTGCGTGTGTCTCCTGGGAGTCAGTGGATGCCCTCTCTCTTTGTCTAGGTCTTCCAGGAGGGAAAACACTGAAACTTGCCCACAGGAACTCTACAATCCATAGACTCCTGTGGATTTAAAAAAATGTCCTAGGTTCATTCTAATTTTCCAGCTCTGCTAGCTGTTGGAACACACTCTTTTTTCTTTTTTAAGATTTTTCTTTTTTCCCTTTTCTTTATTTATTTGACACAGAGAGAGACACACACACACAGTGAGAGAGGGAACACAGGCAGGGGGATGGGAGAGGGAGAAGCAGGCTCCCCGTTGAGCAGGGAGTTTGATGCGGGGCTCGATCCCAAGACCCCGGGATCATGACCTGAGCGGAAGCCAGATGCTTAACCACTGAGCCATGCGGGCACCCCTGGGACACATTCTAGATTAAATGGAACATTAACCTGTTTTCCCCCTCCAGCCTAGGGCTGGGATGAATGTCCCCCATGGTCAGGGGTCTGGAACCCCCACCCAGCTTCAGGCTCTGGTACTTGTTCAGCCCTTTCTTTCTTTCTTTTTTTTTTTTTTAAAGATTTTATTTATTTATTTGACAGAGAGAGATCACAAGTAGATGGAGAGGCAGGCAGAGAGAGAGAGAGAGGAGGAAGCAGGCTCCCCACTGAGCAGAGAGCCTGATGCGGGACTCGATCCCAGGACCTTGAGATCATGACCTGAGCCGAAGGCAGCGGCTTAACCCACTGAGCCACCCAGGCACCCTGTTCAGCCCTTTCTGACTGCTCCTGGCCGTGTTCCCCAGTTCCAGAATCTCAGAGACATTCCCAAGTATCACCATCCGTCTACTCATCTGTCTGTCCACCCTTACATGACACTCACTGAGCAGTGAATGGAACTCCGTAGGAGAGGCGGTGACCTTGGAACTCTATAGGAGAGGCGGTGACCTTGGAACTCCGTAGGAGAGGCAGTGACCTTGGAACTCTGTAGGAGATGCGGTGACCTTGAAAACATGACGGATGAGCTTGTTTAACACTGAGATGAGGACCACGCAGGAGACGAATAGGTACAGAATGGAGACTGAGTGGGAGAGGGTGGGAAACAGGAGGCCCAGGCCACCCAGGGATGCTTCCTGCTTCCCAGGGCTGGAGCACCTCCCACTTGGAGGCCATCAGCCCTAAGACCCTCAGGCCTTCACTGACTCCCTGAGCCTCCTCACTCCCACCCAGTCTGAACTGTTCCCTCCCTCCTGACCTCTCCCCTGGGGTGCAGACCCTGCTGTCCTGCTGCTGAGGCCAGGACAACCTCAGCATGAATTCTGTTCTTTGTCTCACCCTTAGCTGTCCATGCAGAAGAGTGGGGACATGGCACAGGGTAGAGAGGAGCTGTGAGGGCCTGGGAAGAGCCCAGAAGACGTGAGAGAGGGAGAGAGGGAGAGTGCATGAGAGAGGGGGAAGGTGGACCCCTCCAGACATCACCATGGACGTTCCTGAACTTGGGGAGGGTGGGGGGTCAGGGACAGACCCAGCCTTTGAGGGTAAAGGCAAAGATTGGCATAAAGTCTGTTGGGCCTCATTGAACACCTCGTGAAAAATCTCAGACTGGAGGTTGTCAGACGTCGAGAATCTGTCCTCTCTGCTTTCTTCCTGGCTGTGTGTCTGGCTTCTGAGTGTGTTTCTGAGAATTCAGACAAATCTATGGGTTTCAAGGCTGCATAATTAGGGCATTTTCTTTTTTGGTCTCCGAGTTTGTAAATGTCCAACTTAGGGAACCCAGTTTTGGCAAGGGTGCTCTGCAGATGGGTTTGAAAAGGAGCTGGTCGTGGGTGTTGTGGGAACTGTTTGTATTTAAAAAGAGCTTCTGTGATGAATCTTGACTTTATAAAAAAACGCAAAACAGAACAAAATAGTAACAGCTCCTTGAGTGAGATCGTCACACCGTACTAACAAAGCCAGTTAAAAGGAAGGGTGAAGGGACAGCTCTCTGGTTAATGGCTGTGGCAAAGCAGGAAGTGTTTGCATTCGTAAATGACTCCCCTCCCCATAGTTTTCCTGCTGAAGACAGAACTAGTGAAATATTAATTAGAGTGCAGTGATGCTGTGAGGGGCACAGGGAAGCTGTAAGACGGGCTCCTGGCGGCAGAACGGAGGTGGCTCACAGAGACAGCACAGAGGACGTTCCTCTGCCCCACAGAGAACATGGGCATCGAGGCCAGCCTGGCTGTGACAAGGGGCCTTTCCCCCTCCAGGTGGAAGGTCATTCAGTCATCTCTGGGTCGTGCAGAAACAGAGAAGTGATTGGGTTGTGTTTGGAAAAAGCGAAGGGTTCTTAAAAGTAAATCCGTAAAACGTTGGAACATGTCTCGTCTTTGCGCCGATGAGGGGCCCATCTTGGTGTGGTGAGGGACAGAAGGCCCTGGGGGGCTGCCAGGAAGCCAGGCAGTGGCCTGAGCCCCTGTGGTGCTCACACAGGGGCCTTGGTCTCTATCTACAACATGGGGAGGGAGGCCAGCGAAGAGCGCACCTTGGCAGGAGCGGAGCTGGTTTCATCATGTGTTTGCCCAGAGGCTCTGAGGCAGCCACTGCTGCTCCTTCCCAACAGCCCAGAAGTCAGAGTCTCCCTGCTCCGTCGTTGATGTCCCATGTCACCCTCTCACAGACTCATCTTGTGTTAAGGAGCTAACCCGTGTTTCTTCCTGTGGCTGGGCTCCTTCTTTCCCCCTTTTAGAATCAAAGCTACATGCACTGAAGAGAACTTCTCACTTACTGGCCATTTGACGCAGATAAATTGCAAATGGAAAGGTGCTCGGCAAAATGAATGTCCCAGCTGTGAGCTTTATCAATGGGAGCTCGCAGTTTGCAAGCAGCGCCCAGTACGCATCCCTGCAACCCTTTCTGTTCTCTGCTCTTTGAATAATTTATCTGCGGGAAATCCAAATTGCCAAGGCATGCTTTAACCTAGCAGAATGATTGTCAATTTCCCTGGGAAAACTGACAAAAAAAAAATAAAAATGAAAAAATAAAAAGGAGGTTGCCGTTGCATTTCAGTTGAAAGCCGGCGCCCGGCAATCAGACGCATTAGCTCCATTGTGCGGCCGGTATCGGAAGGCACGCGCTCGGGCTCCACGCAGATGACATTTGAAGGCTCGTAAACGTAATGAAGTCCCTTTGACACCTGCTCCTCTCTTCACTTTAAATGTGAGTCATTGGTCCGTGGGGAACCTCTGCTTTAAAAATAGAGACTATAGTGATTCCATTCCATGCTGCCCGAGAGCTGTCACAGGCCCGGGGGCTCTGGACGCTGGCTCTGCCGCCTGGGCCCGCAGGCTGCGTGGATCACACGCGGGTTTGAGTTCTGGTCCTTAACAAATCACATAAAATGTTGTGTGTGACCGCTGCCTGTGGGGAGGCTCACTTTGCAGATTTCGTCTTCCTAACTGGGGGGATTCCTTCCCTCCTGCCAGGGGCCTCCGTACCTCAGAGCTCAGGCTTTTCTCTCGAGGGCCTCCAGGCTCTGAAGCCTGAGTCTGTCGCCCTTCCTTTCTTCCTTCCGCTGTCTGGCCTTGCCTTTCACAAGCCTTGGTTGTGGCCTGGGACAGGTGGCATCGCTCTGTCCCCTTCCCGACCACAGGGACAGGTGGTGAGCCCGGTGGGGCTCATGGGACACCTCCTGCCAGACAGAGGCTCCCCCCAACCTCAGAGACAAGGGGTGCTTCCACCGTCTCACCCACTTCCTACCTCGTCACTACCTGTCTGGCTAGATGTGTCATGGGTGACATCGGTCCAAGATTCTACGTGAGGACCTATGGCCCCGGGAGGGTCCCCTCCTTGGGCTTCTCCATGATGCTTGTCCCCTGGCTTCACCCTCCTGAGGGCTCTTCCTCGACTCCCCCACAGGACCATGTGGACCATGTTCCCCATGGGGATTAGGCAGGGTCAGGGAAAGTGGGGGTGCACTGATGGGCTCAGATGGGGCAGTCAGAGTGTGTGAGGGGTCTGCACTGTGCGGGGTGCCCTGCCCCCTCAGGAGGACCCGCTCACCCACTCTTGGGAGAAGGGACATCCCTGGGAGGGTGGCCTGTGGGTCCTGACCACGTGGCCCCTCGGCCTGTGTTCTTGCCTGAAGCTGGCTCCCACCTGAGTCTGCTTCCCACGTCTAGAGCCACAGTCTCCAGCATGGGGGCCACGGGCACGGCTCAGATGTGCTGTGAGTCCAGGAGACATGCAGGGTCTCTGCTAGTTAGCACAAAACAGCCTCCCACTCAGAGACTTTTTTACGGATTAATGTTGAAGTGACAATGGTCTGGGTAGGTCGGGTCAGGTAAGGTTTCGTATATTAAAATCCGTGTCACGTGTCCTTTTACATTTGTAGTATGGCTGCTCTCATGTCACTGTGCCTGACGTGCTCTCTGTCCCCACTGGATGCTGGTGCCCCACTTCTGGGGACACACTCTCAGTGAGCACGTCCTGTCCCTGGGCTCAGGCCACTGGTTCCTGGGCTCCCTCCAGGACGGCACGCGGTAGAAATCGAAGTAATTCATTTTCTGGACGCTTTGTGGAGACCTGTTCCAGTCCCCTCCATCTGTTTCTAAGAGGGTGACCCCAGTGTGTTGGGGCCCTCACGCCCGTGGGAAGTTGGGCTCTGGGGCCCAGTGGGGGACCGGTTGTGATGCCCAAGTGAGTAGGGGTGGAGCTCCCCAGGCTGGCCAGGAGCCCGTGTGCTGGGAGCCCTACTGTCTGTCCACAAGCATCCGGCAGATGGGGCAAGGGCTCCTGCTGGAGGTTCCTGTGGGAGTGGGAAGGTGGGGGCAGTGGGTGGGTTGATTGCTGGGCCGGGAGCTGGGGTCTCCCCACTGAAACCCCTGCCCCACGCTTGCTGGCCTGGGTCTCAGGTCTTCTCTTCCTTCGAGCCTACCCCTTTCCTGTCTGTGTCACAGACTCTCCGCGACCGGAAGAGCTGGGGCCGGACCGCAGCCAGAGGCCCTGCGCAGCCCTCCGGGGTGGTCCTGGTCTGGGCCTCCAGTAACATCCCAGTTGTTTTTCCTTGCAGATGAGCTTAGAAACTGAGGACAAACGGGCTCGCACGCGCTCCAAGGCCCTCCGAGGTGAGTGCCGCCCCCTCCCAGCCCAGTGTGGCTGTGAATTCCAGGTCCTAAAGTAACAGACCCCACGCTGCTCAGGAAAGCAGAAGCCCACATTGGTGACCAGGCCCTGGGAGGCTCCTCCCCTGAGTCTGAGTACTTGGGGTCGTGCATGGTGTCTGGAGCCTGTGAGGCCTGCGGTGGGGTCTGGACCAATCTGCCTGGGGTGTGGGTGAGCAGGTAGATGGCCCCACAGGGTGGGGAAGGCAAAGGTCCCTCAGGAGACCTTTCCGTTTGGAGCTGGAATGCAGTCAGGCTTCTGTGACAGGCTTCTGTGACCTCCTGGGAGGTCAGTCCTAGTGCAGGAGGTCATGGCGGGGGGTGGGGGGGCTTGTCAGATGGAGCTGGCAGGGGATGGGGGGGCCTTTGGCCGGCTCACCTCCCTGACTCCCTAAGTACACACCGGGCCAGGGCTGCACGTCTGGTGTGGGGAGGGGCCAGAGCGCTGAGCTTCCCGTGTGAGCTGCTCAGCTGGACCCCGGTGCGCTTTTGCCCAGCGTGGCCCCCTCACCAGGGACCAGCTGCTTGGTTCTCTCCGCCCAGGCTTCTCTGCTGGGTCAAGTTTCCTGTTGGAAGCTGACTTCCCATGGCAATTTGAGAAAGAGACACTGTCCTGGTCCTGAAGGCTTGGAGAGCGGGGACTGGTTGGGACGCCTGACCCCTCTGTAAGGCCAGCAACCTCTCGCGGGGAGATCTGGGGAAAGCATGGGGGTGGGCGGCAGCTCACCCCCCTGGTCCCGTAGTACATTCCAGGAGGTCAGGGAGGGATGGGGTTCCCTTCTCGCTGGGATTGTCTCCGCTTCTTTTCCGTTTGTGCCTTTTTAGTTCGGACTGCCATATATGTTTCCCTGTTTCTCTCTTTCTCTCACCCAGTGCCCCCAGAACCCACAGGTGCCGACCTCAGGTAAGAAAGGCTTTCTGCTAGCACCCAGCATTGCCCATGCCCGTGACCCCGAACACCCCACTGTTCCATACGGGGCACTTTGGATGGTTCAACTGCCCCCGGGACCCCTTTCCTCCTTGCCACGAGTCCCCCTATCTTCACCTTGCCTCTGCTCTCTCCCACCTCTGTCCTGTCCCCACCACGCAGTCAGCCTTGGGACGGGGCAGAGATGTGCTGACCTGTGGTCACCACCAGGCCTGCCTGTCCCCGTGGCCCCCAGCCAGCAGCAAGGTGCTCATTAGGGGGCTCTCAGGAAGGGTTGTGCATCTGCTGGCCAGAGGCCCCATTTGGGCAGAGATGAGGGAAAGGGCTGCAAGGTCCCCAGTCGTCCACAGACTCCAGGTGCCGACTGTGGTTGGTGAGCTGGTGATCTTGCGTTGGCTGAGCTCTGTGAATTTCCAGATTCTAGGTCAGGTCTCACCGGGAGGGGCATCCTGAGGAGGAAGGGAGGACAGCCCACAGCAGGGATTTGCCAGGTCCAAGCAGGAGGGGCCAGGTCGACTTGCCCCCACCTGCTGGCTTCTGTCCTGGGATTGGCCCCTGGGATGGCCAGAGAGGAAGCCCCCCTAGTCCTGTGCATCAGGGCTGTCCCAGAACCACCCACACGACCTTGGAACTTCAAGCTCAGTGGGCCTGGGCCCTCAGTGCTGTTTTACTTAGGGCTGGTGATGTTCAGTAACCAACAAGGAAAACCAGCCCTCAGAACCCCCTGTTTCCTGAGGAGGGGCGGTGCCAGGTGTCCTGGCTCTGACAGGAAAAGGGAAAGGGAAGTGGTGCTCATGGATGGTCCCAGAATGTCAAGGGGTGTCAGGGGCCCCCTTTAATGGCCAAAAATTCCCCATGAGATGGAGCTGGGTTTGGACTGCAGCTGTGCTAACCTGCCAAAGGCTTGTCCTTGGGGGACAGAAGGGCTCCAGGCCCACCCTCATTCCCACAGAGCCCCCAGCCCCCAGCCCCCAGGCCCCTGGCCATGTTGGTGGGGTGCTCTGCCCACGCAGAAGGGCCAAGGGCGACAACCACACCTCAGTGGGGTTTCTGTGAGCTTCTGGACTCCCCGCGGGGGACACACAGAACATTCCAGTTTCTGAGGGTCCGTGCTGTTCCTGCCCTGCCTAACCCCCAGCCTGGAGCAGACTTTCCCATGTCACTGCACACGTCTGGAGCTTAGGGGGAAAGATTTTTACCAAACTGAACAAGCCTGGGGCCGGGGCTGTCTCATTTCTCACCAGAGTGGCTGATGGCTGGCTTTTGCCAATCAGGACGCTGAGAAGACCCTAGAGTGTCCAGCATCCCTCTAACCTTTGAGGCTGTGAGCTGGGGACAGAAGGGAAGGGCCTGGAGGGAGGCTGGAGGCCCAGGCTCGTGACAGACTCTGCGTTGGCTGCCCAGCCTAGTCTCGCTCTCAGGAGACACGGCCTGCTGTTACTTTTACCCCGTGTGGGAAGTGGGGAAACCGAGGCTTGGAGGACTGAAATTTGACCAGAAGAGCTGGGTCATACGTGTACCACACCAGGCCCCAGCCCAGCTCACGGGGAGAGAGTGGGAAGGCCGCCAAACCAGGCCGGGGGAAGGTCCACAGAACGTGTTCCCTGGATGGGTGGCCAGAGGCACCAGGGGAGAGAAGGCTTCCAGGAGGAGGTGTCACTTCCTCTGGTGTGTGATGCTCAGCGACAACCTCTTCAGGACCGTGAAGGGGAGGAGGCTGGTCATGGGACTCAAGGAAGCTCTGGGTTTTGGTAACAGCAGCTAATTTGGGCAACAGATAAAGTTATGGAGTGACTTGCGAAGGCAGATCCAAAGACCTTTCTCTCCTAATTTTGAGATAGAACAGAAATGACTCTGAAGATGGTGTTGTTTTGAAGTATTCTCAGAGAGGACCCAGCCGTGAGAGGGTCCTGTGAGCACCTTCATTCACCGTGAGGTCTCAGCCTCCTTTCTCGGCAGTAGGGAGATTGTTGCCGGAGTTAGTGGAGAAACTAGGGACGAATGCATTGATGTCTAATGTTTTAGCAACAGTCCTCAAGGTTTGGGGCTGCTTGGAGCCGAGTGGAGTCCTCTGTGCCAAAGAGATGCCTATGTCCTGCCTGGGAGGTTCGGGTCACTCCTGTGCTCCTGAGCGCTCACTGGCGGTGAGCTACACCTGGGGCTGTGATCTGTGGTGGGATCGTGGCTCTCGCTCCTTAGCTGTGCACGCCAACCGCACGGGCACCTTTATGCTGTGAGAATGGGCAGACGCTGCAAGCCGCACCTCTGCCCAGCCCACCAGTGGCTCTGCCCTGTCCTGGGGAGGCTTATGCTCTGGGTGCCAGCGCAGGGAGACTGTGACCTGGAACAGGACATCACCGTATTAGATAAACTCATGCACAAGTCACTGGAAGGGACAGCCGAGTTAGGGGGAAGCTCTATGGTGGGACTCGCTCCACGGATGAGGGATAGCGGCCTCCCTGTCCCAGAATTCGGCCCGTATCCCCTGTCCCAGTTTGTTTTTTCCCAGCTCGAGCAGGCTCCCAGGAGGCTACTTGCTCTCAGGGGAGTGGCACGGCTGTTGTTAGGAGCTGAGCTGAACAGGAGGCTGACCGGGAGCCACCAGGGCTCTGAGTGCCTTCTCCTGCCTCTGGAGCCCACGTTGCTTCTCTGTGCCTTGGGTTTAACGCTGAGCACCCAAGAGGAAGCAAATGGACCTGGTGGCTTTTCCTTTGCGTCTGTGAAGAGTGGGAAGGACTGTGGGACACTTTGGTCTGTGTCCTGGTCTGGGCCCGCCTGCAGCCTCACGGCCTGGGAAGGGCTGTTGGAGGGGTTGGCTGGTGGGAAGGTGGGGCACCTGCTTCGCCCTGCAGATGCCTGCTGGGCCCCCTCCAGAGCACGTTTGAGGAGAGCCGCCCGTCTGTCACGCCTGCATCTGGGTTCCCTCCCAGCCGTGTGACCTCACTGGAGGGCCTCCTCGGAGCCAGTGGCCAGCTCCTGCCCAGGGGACAGATGAGAATGGAGGGGTGCCCCACCTGCCTGCAGGGGGCTGGAGAGAAGTCAGTCCTGTCCAGGGCTGGTAGCTGAGTGCAGGGCTCCGGCTGGGGTTTGGATCTTCCTGGCCTCAGCCTTGACTTTCCTTGACACCTGTAGCTTATAGTTGGATGTGCAAAGCTGTCACCAGGATCCTGCTCAGTTGGGACCATGAGCAGGCTGTCTGCAAGCCTCCTGCCTATCTTCCTGTCCCTGCCACCCTCCGGGAGCCACAGCGGGGAGCTCAGGAAGAAGCCCTGGCTGCATCGGCCTCCTCCCCCCAAGACGGGGGAAGCTGGTGCTGCTTCTTCACCCGGGCCCCAAGCACCCTGGGGGCGCTTGTAAGGGAAATGGCGTGAATCGTGCAGCCCAGGCAGTGGGCAGGCAGCCGCTGGGCTTTGACTGTGTCTCCCGTGGCCACTGCGTGGGGAGCCAGAGTGCAGGGGCTCCAGCTTCTAATCCCACAGCGGTCCTCACCTGCCCCAGACATGTGGGCTCCCCGCCCGCCCTGCTGCCCCCTGGGCTAGAGGCCAGGACGCTGGTGAGCTGGTGGCTGGAGGTGTGGCTCAGAGCTGGTGATGCATCTGGGGGCAGGGCCAGCGGCCTTCAGGACTCCACAGCAGCTGCCACATAATTGCCTGATTAACTCAGTGATTAATCGGCTAATTGGGACCTCAGCTTCAAATCCCTAGTAACAAGGACCTTTTGTGAAAAGTCTCAAAGCTAGCTCTTGAGAGAGAGAAAGCAAGCGTGGGGCATAGATTTTTAGAATAGACGGCCGGGGGCAGCAAGTCCTGGCTGTCTGGAAAGGAAATCCACAATAAAACGTGGCACGTCTTCCCTCCCTCTCCCCTGTCCTCTCCCCTCCTTCCTCCCTCCCTTTCCCCTCTCTCCCCTTCCTCCTTTCCTTTCTTCCTTTTATTTTTTATTTTTTTTTTAAAGATTTTATTTATTTATTTGACAGACAGAGATCACAAGTAGGCAGAGAGGCAGGCAGAGAGAGGAGGAAGCAGGCTCCCCGCTGAGCAGAGAGCCCGACGCGGGGCTCGATCCCAGGACGCTGAGATCATGACCTGAGCCGAAGGCAGAGGCCCAACCACTGAGCCACCCAGGCGCCCCTCCTTTCTTCCTTTTAAACTGAGAATCAGCCCAGGCAGCCTCAGCCTGGAGGGCAGCAGGGAGACGGCACTGTTGAGATCGTAGGTGGGGTGGGGCTTGCCTCCGTCCACTGTCTTGTTCTCCCTGACCCGCCCACGAGGGTGACCTGTGTGGCCTGGGGACCCCACAGCGCATCGCTGTTAGGCTGTGATCAGTCAAATTAGAAACCATCAGGCATGTCTAGACTGAGGTCGCGGGCCGTGTCCCTTCCGGGGCCCACCCTCTTCTTCCCTCCCAGGATCTGGGAGAGCCTAATCAGACCCCCTGATGCCACGCCTGTTAAAAACAAGGGCTTCCCATCTTGGGACTGCCCCTCCCCGGAGGAGCTCAGGCTCAGCCTCCCCGGGGTGACCTCCCATGCCTTCTCCCATTTCTCCCATTTCGCCACTCCGGAACAGGAGGGAATGTCTGCTTCTTGCTGTCTGCGGTCTGTGGATGTGCCCAGCAGCCCATGGGATCCCAGCCTTGCACAGGGCTGACTCCAGGCAAACTGGGCTGGGTGGTAGGCCCCATGCCCATGATCTGACGTTTCCAGAGCTTTCCGTGGTTTGGTTCCATAGGGCGACAGATGACAGTGGTGGGGGAGGGACTCCTGGGTGCCTTGCCTTCCTCCCCGTGCACTTGCTGGCCCCCAGGGTGCATAAGGCCCAGCAGCCCCCTTCCCCCAGCCCCTCAACATGTCTATGGGTCACCCCCGGGTCATAGGCCCTCCTGGCCTCACCTCTCTGCACCAGGCTGCGGGCCTCAGAGCACAGTGATGGCCGCTTTGCCCTTGGGCTGGCCTCAGGTGCTGGTTCTGGGGGCTCCACAGAGCGTCCTATTTCTTGGCTGCTGGGAAGCAGCCGCAGTTTGCTGGCAGTGGGAAAGACTCACGCACAGAAAAAAGAAGCCGTCTAGGAGACACCGACATTGGAGGTCTTGATCTCATATGTGCAGATCTTTAATTAAACACACTCATAAAATTGTAATGAGTCATTCATTTACTTAAATGGGGTGAGTTATTTCATTAATTTTTAGTGAACTGCAAGCAGCCGTTCTGAGATGCACTGTTTGGAGACAGTCTCCTGCTCCCGGGGAAGGGTCTGGGGCGGGCAGGTCTTTCCCCGCCTGACCACCCCTGCTTCTCTCCCCCCAGCTGCCCCACCCCAGGATGCACTGGCTCAGGACACATCCGGGGCAAGTACTCCAGACACCGCAGGTAAGGGGGCTCCTGGAGAGCAGTGGGACTGCGGGCTGCTGGAGCCCCTCGCCCTCTCTGGGCCCTTTTGTAGATCTAGAACCTTCCATCTGTGCCTGTGGCTGCAGAGGCCAACACGGCCGTGGCGTGTCATGCCGCGGCCTCTCTGCTGGGGGCGCAAGGCCAGAGGAGGGCGTTGGGAGGGAGTTCAGAGCGGACCTGCTATCCACGAGGGTGGCCTCGGTGAGCTGCCGCCTGGTCGTCGCTGTGGTCAGCTTGACTGCAGTGGGGGAAGGTGTGCGGGGTCTGGAGGTGGAGAGGAAAGGCCCGGGGCACCCGATGGCCTGCCAGGTGGGAGGAAGTGGGCTGGGACCGACAGAGGGCCAGTGCCTGCCTCAGCCCCGCAGGGGGCGTGCCGTGGACGGGGCCACTGAGGTTAGGGTTTATGAGAGAAGAACGATGCACAGTTTAAAGCATGTGCGTTTTTAATTCAGAGAAAATTTAAGTACCTCAACCTGCCTGTCCTGAATGTGGGGCTTTTAGCTGAGGGCCAGTGACGAGACGCGAAGACGAGCTTCCACCACAGGGAACACGGCTGCCAAGGGTGGAGTGCGGGCGGGAGGGTCCCAGAGAGCCTCGACAGGGCGGCCCTGGTCCCCTTCCTCCCAGTTCGCAGAGCTGCCCTCTGGCCAAGAAGAGGAAGCTGGAGGGCTCCCCAGCCGAGCACCTGGCGTCCACACGGAAGTCCCGGGCCCTGAAGCTGGCGCTGGACGAGGGCTGTGGCGCGGACACCGACGGCAGCGAGGACGCCGAGGTGAAGGACGCCTCTGTCTCGGATGAATCGGAAGGAACTCCGGAGGAGGACGAGGCTGAGCTGCCAGGACAGGAGGAGATTCATCGCCCCGAGCCAGCTGAAGGTGCTTTGTGGCTCTTTCTCCCCCGAAATAAAGGGCGCTTAGTGTGGCCCTGGAGAATCACAGCCTGCGAGTGGGGAGGGGGCCCCACTCCGAGGCAGTGAAAGCGCCGCTGAGGAAGCCCTTCCTGAGAACAAGCGGGGTCTTGTCCTGATATTCGTTGGGGTTTCCTGGAGAGGGGCCGGAGCGGGGTGTTGGAGGGGCCTGTGGGCACAGCTCTGGGAACGCTGTGGGTGTGCATGTGGATGTGTGCGTGTGTGCGCGTGTGTGAGATAGATGGATGGGCAGAGGGGTGTGGGCTGTGCCTCGGGTCATGGGGGAAGGGGGGAAGGGAGCTCAGAGAGACCCCCTCCACCCGGCTCCAGGGAAGGGCAGCTGGGGTGGGGCGGGGGTCTGCTTGACGTCAGGTGAGACTGTGGGGGTGTCCAGGGAAGCCTGGGGTGGGGTTTCCGCACCGAGCATTCTTCCCGGTGGAGGGGGGAGGCCCAGACATCGGCAAATGCTCGTGTGAAAGTGGCCCTGGGTCCAGGAGGGAAGTGTCCATATGCCCCCCAGCCTGGCAGACTTCAGTCCTGGGAGTGGGACTGAGACCTGAGGTCCCGAACCCCCAGAACGGCAAGGTGCTTGAGTCTTCTGGCCTCGCACGGTCCGAGAGGGGTTTCTACTTTATTGTGGAGCTGATTCTCAGCGAGCGTCCTCCTGGGGGGTCTCTGGTTGTCTTTGCAGTGGTGTGTGGCCCAATGGACTCTAGGCAGAAAGCACTAGCCTGCCCGCTTTCTTACAGAGGAGGGAGTTTGGGGTTTGGACAGCAGCCCCGGCTGGCCCCCCTGGAATAGGCGCCCACACCCGGGGCGTCCTTGCGCCCACCCCACAGGCCGGTGTGTGGGGAGCCTTCACCACAGCAAGGTCATGGCACTTAAGATGTGTACACGTGGGTCTTTTAAAAACATAAATTCCTTTTCTGCTTTGTGTTTATGAAGCAAATTTGAGAATCTGTTGTATTAAGTGCCATTTTGTGAAAGGCAGGTTCACCCAATTTGAGAAAGTAGACTTAAAGGGAGGGGCTGTTAGTAACAAGTATCAGAGAGTCTCCCAGCTTCAGAAGAAGTGACCCCTTCTCCTCCTCAAATAAGTTCACCGCGTGTCTGCGGCCCATGTCGGCATGCCTTCCCCTCTCCGGGGGTGTCGTGCTCCCCAGGCGGTTGGGGCAGGGCGCTCCTTGGGCTTTTCCCACATGTTTCTAATTCTGTGCAGGAAGGAGCCCTGTCAAGTCCCACTTCGGATCCAAGCCTGTCGGCAGCTCTGCGGGCCCCGCCAAGGGCAGCTACAGCAGCTACCAGGAGATCATTGCCACTTCTCTCCTCAACCTGGGCCAAATCGCTGTAGAGACCCTAGTTGGGGAGGACTTGGGCCAGGTGGCCAAGCCGGGCCCTGGTGTTGTGCACCTGGTTCAGGAGGAGGCTGAGGAAGGGGCCACCAGTGACGAGGGGGAGAAGGATGTGTTCCTCCGGCCAGAGGATACAGAGCAGGTGGTGGGAGTCACCAGGGAGTGCCCCCAGGAGCTTGGTCCCCAGGCCGTGGAGGGTGTGGCCAGTGAGGAGTCCAGCAAGAGGAAAGTTGCTCTGGGTAACGAGGAAGAGGAAGAGGAGGAGGACGAAGAGGAGGAGGAAGAGGAGGAGGAGGAGGAGGAAGAGGACGAGGAAGAGGAGGAGGAGGAGGAGGAGGAGGAGGAAGAGGAGGAGGAAGAGGAAGAGGAGGAGGACGAGGAGGAGGAGGAGGAGGAGGAGGAGGAGGAGGCCGCTCCTGAGGTCATCTGCCAGGAGGATGCCCCCCTCGCCCCCAGCCAGAAGGCCCCTGAAGCCCGGCCACTGGCCTCGCCCAGCCCCAAGCCTGAGTACTCTGTCCTGGGGGAGGAGCGCTCTGACGATGGCCGGGACGAAGACACGTGCTCCCAGAAGTCCGAGGTCACCGACGCGTCGGAGATGTACGATGTGATGACACGTGGGAACCTGGGTCTCCTGGAGCAGGCTATTGCCCTAAAGGCTGAGCAGGTACAAGCCGTCTGTGAGCCCGGCTGCCCGCCCACCGAGCAGGGCCAGCTGGGCGCCGGGGAGCCTGGGAAGGCAGTGAGGCCCCTGGATGCCCGGAAGAACTACTGCAACAAAGGTAGGGCTGGCGGCCGGGCCCACACACGCTCCCGTCCTCCCTCCCTCCCACCCTCCCCGCCCCCCACCCCCCGCCGGGGGGGGGGCGCTCGTCCCCCCACGGTCCCCACTGGGTATGGAGAGGCAGGCTGAGGGACACGTGTGTCCAGAGCGGAGGACCTTACCGGCTGGAGGCAGGGCTGACAGGTGCAGACAAAGGGCACACATACACATAACTACAGACTGGCCACGGTTGCAGGGAATGGACTCACTCTGCCCTTGTGGGGTGGTCCAGAGACAGCAGCAGAGCTCCTGTGGGGGAAAGGTTAGGAGGGACAGTCAGCTGGCTCCAGCAGCTCAGCCGCAGCTTGGGGGCTGGCCGTGCTCATGGAGAGACACAGGCAGACCCTGGGCGGACACAGCTGGGTCATGAGACATTGAGTGAGCTCTGGGGAACACCCGTTGGTAGGTAAGTGGGGACACAGGGCACAGATTTCCTAGGGAACCTCGATGAGATGAGCTTAGGGCAGATGCTGAGGGACACAGCTGAGGGGACACAGATGAGGATGTTGTTTCAACCTGGAGGAGACCTGTCACCTTTCAGGGTGGCACAGAAGTGGGGATAGCTGCTCGAGAGCTCGGATTCAGACTGGCAAGGTCTTCAGGGGACGCAGGTGCAAGGAGACCCAGATGAAGGTGACCCAAATTTAGGGAGTCGGAGCTGCGTAGAGTGTCAGTCTACAGGCAGTGGGCTTGGGGCTCACGGATCAGGGCAGAGATGTGTATGGCTGGGGGACACCGTGTATGGCTGGGGGACGCCATGTATGGCTGGGGGACGCCATGTATGGCTGGGGGACACCGACTGAGTGATGGCCACAAGCCCGGGTGTTAGGGTGACTCAGACCTGTGGGAATGGACACTGGGGGACCTGCCTTCAGGGATAGAGTTGAGGGCATGGACCCAGGGGACGGAGTCTCAGTGTGAGGAAGATGGCCGAGCTGGAAGCACCAGGCAGGGGAGAGACAGGTCTCACGCCAAGGGTCGGATGCAGCCCGAGCCCCAGATAGAGCCCGTGTTCTGGAAGCAGGCATGGGGGACGGGTTGGGGACAGCAATGTCCAGCTTCCTGCTCATTTGAACGTGGAGATGCAGAGCCTGGGGCCCTGCACTTCAGAGCACCCCCCCCCCCCGGGTTTCTGCCTTGCCTGGGGGAGGCATTCTGAGTGTGGCTGTGTGACCTTCTCCTGGAGGGGATGGCTGCACCCAGAAATTTCTCTGGGACATCGGCTATGCTCTGGGGATCATTGTGTCCTGACAAGTGTTTCCTTCTGGCCCCTACCTCCTATAGGGACATCCCCTGGCCCACAGAGCCTAGACTTGAGTTCAGCAACTGAGATTTGAGTTGAAATTTCTGCCCATGCCTTTATTAGTCAGGCGGCTTTTGGCAAGTTAACGTCTTTGTCCTCGTTTTGTCAAAACCAAAGGACAGGTCCCGGCAAGGAACTGGTCTCATTTTTCACCTCTCTGTGCAGAGGCTGGAGCTCTAGGCTCGGGGGCTCTGGAGGCATGGCCCCAATGTTGAAGCCAACAGGCTCCCACAATGTCAGCAGGAGTGGGGAGAGAGGGCACCAGCTGCCACCTGCGTCCTCCTCCTGAATACGCCACCCACCCTGTTACATGGGAGGGTTTTCCATGAGGTTGGCCAATGTGGGCCAGTGTCCCCAGAATGATCCAGCCCCGTCCCTCCCAGGCACCTGGGCGGTCTGGCCGCTCTGCTCCGGACGCCGTGAATGAAGGAACATGGCTGTCCCATCCCCCTCGCCACTCACCACACGGTTTTCTCGCTGCACGGACTGATGCATCTTGTGTGTTTAGATCCCTCAAGAGCTGAGAAACGTGAGATCAAGTGTCCGACTCCAGGCTGTGATGGCACTGGCCACGTCACAGGGCTGTACCCTCACCACCGAAGCCTGTCTGGCTGCCCCCACAAGGACAGGATCCCCCCAGAGAGTGAGTAGCTGTGCACCACTCAGACCATCTCTGTTGCTTGGATGGTATTCCTGTGGAGGAGGGGTCACCCAGGGCCCTGTCCCTTTGGACCGGCTCTGTCCAGATGCCCCAACTCGAGCCCTATGAGGCTGGGGATGTGCGGCATGCCCTGTCACCTGCCTTGAGACTGCAGACCCATGCCAGGGCCCCGGGAGGCCTGTGAGGGGACAGCCGACAGGCACAGGAGAGGGCCTGTCCTCACTTCCAGCCTAGAGGCGGAAACTGTGAACAGGAGTCTCAAAGGCAAATCACAGAACCACCGGGGGGTTTGAGGGCAAGTTGGCTTCCGCCCCAGGGAGGCCAGGGCCACAGTGGGAGGGAGCACAGCTGGACTGGGCTGAGGCCGGCGGGCCCTCCCGGCTGCTGCTCTCAGCTGCCATCCTCCCACAAGGTTGCAGACCTCACATGGGGCCCCTCCGTCTTCCTTGGCCGTGCTCAGCGTGTCCCTCCCTCTGGCTCTCTCGCAGTCTTGGCCATGCACGAGAATGTGCTCAAGTGCCCCACCCCTGGCTGCACCGGCCAAGGCCACGTGAATAGCAACCGCAACACTCACAGAAGGTACTTAGGTTGAACTGGGCGTGGCGGGGGCTGTGGTGGGGCGGGCTGGGCCTCATGTGTGTGCCCCGGCCTGGGATGGGTGCACGGTCAGGGCAGGCCTCTTGGTGGGGGGTCGGAATGGTGCCCCGAGGTGTGGTCCCTATGGGAGAGGTCCTGAGACACGAGGTTGCTGGAGGGATGGGTGTGTGCCCCCCAGAGAGGCCTCCTGCCCTTGGGGAGAGCCAGGTGAGGCTCTCCTGGGAGGCCTCCACCCGCCAGGACCGAGATCCAGGCTAGAGTGTGGGGGCCGCGGCCCAGGCAGACCTGATATTCCTGGGGTACCCTTGGGGTTTTGCTGTCTGCCGTCCTGCACAGCGAGAGGTGACCGTACTCCCCACCCAGAGCGCCTTGGGTAGTGTGGCTGTGATGGGCTGTGTCCTTGCTAAGGCGGCTGCACTTCCCTGAGAAGAGGCCACACTCCTGAGTGGGGCTGTGGCCGTCCCTTGGCCAGCAGCCGGTCAGCCCGATGCTGACAGCTGAGGTTGCTCCCACGGTGTCTTAGATCAGGTACTTGCCGGGGAGGGGCCTGGCCTCCAGGGTCAGCACCTGGGGTGTGTGGCTGCATGGCCTTGGGACTCCCCGGGTTGGCTGATGGAGCATGAGCCAGAGAGAGGTCCCGAGGGCTACTCTCTGGTCGGCAGTGAGAGGAGGGCAGGGAGGTGAACGGCAGGCCCACTGCCCAGACCTGCCTCGAGCTGTGAAGGCATTTAGGGTCGGCTCTGTCTTCCCCTGTCATTGCTGAGGGTTTCCCCAAACAGAAAGCGACGTGCACAGCTACCCCGAGGGCTCGAGGACAGAGCAAGAGAGACAGGAGACTTCCCTGGGCTCTGGGAGGTGTTTGCGAGCTCCTGGCATGGACAGGCTGGGTCTGGGTCTGGAAGACAGTCCTTAGCTGACCTCTACCTTTTCTCCAGTTTGTCTGGATGTCCCATTGCTGCTGCTGAAAAATTGGCCAAATCTCATGAGAAGCAACAGCCGCAAACGGGAGACCCTTCCAAGAGTAGCTCCAGCTCCGATCGGATCCTCAGGTAAGTGAGATGAGCCCCAGAGCCGAAAGCGCCTGCCCCCCAGGGTCCCACAGAGGTCTTCCCAGCATCTCTGGGTGGCCCACATGCGCGCGTGTGCGCATGTGCTGAGGGCCCGAGTTGCTCTGGGGGCCTCTCAGGGGGAGCTGGAGGCTAGATTCTGAGGCACATAGGACAGAGTCTGACAGTCTCGCACTCACCCGTGTTTCCGCTGTGGCACAAACCTGCGAGGCCGTCCTGCCTTGCTCTCCCCGAAGGCATCAGCTCTCCTAGCTGGGGAGCGCTCAGGGGCTGTTTGTGGAGATGCTGGTCCTGTCTCCAGAGACCAGACTACCCCAGCTGGCGGCCCTTGGCGTCCAAACACTCCAGGAGCTGCTCCTTCCTGGCCGTCCTGCCTGCACCTCCCTCACCTCAGGGAAGGACCCTGAACGGAGGGTGAGGACAGAAGCACGTGGTGCCCTTCAGAGCACGGCCTGCTTGTGGCCCCAGAGGTTCTGAGGCAGCCATAGGCAAGCGTGTGTATAGACAGATGTCAGTGATCAGGGGCTCCCCAAAGGCCATTAAGAATGCATGTGCTTGGCATCCCGCCACCCCTGTGACTGTGAAGGCAGGAGCCACAGTGTCGGGAGCTTGCCCAAGACAGCAATTATTGGCGAGGGGGGCATGGAGGGAGCTGGCCCTGGCCCCTGGCCAGCCTGGCCTCAGATTCTTGCTTTTGGCCAGCGAGGTGGCTCCCCACCAAGTGTCCTCACTCTGTGGATACTCTGCTCCCCGTGTCTCTGAGGGACTGGGACTTCAGAAGCCTTTCCCTTCCCCAGTTCTGCAGATCCCAGTCCCATGTCTGCCCCTCAGAGGAGAATGTTGAGTGGGCACGAACCTGGGCAATAGCGCAGACCCTGGTCTGGAGAGAGGCCCGCTTCCTTCCAGGGCCCACGCAGCCCCCTGTCCCTTCCCTGGTATGTGCCTGCCAAGGTCTCAGCCAGAGAACCTGGCCACCCCCCTTGACTTGCTCTGTGGGTCCTCTGTGAGGGGTCTCCGGGCGGGGGGCCCAGAGCCAGGGCCTCACCCCCCTGCACTCCCATCCACGGGGCCTTCAGCCCTGCGTGTCCAGTGGGCTCCTTTCCACCTGCTGGCTGGCTCTGAAGATGCTTGGAAGCTGCTTCTTGCTTCTATCCTGTAACTGTTTCTTCCAGCTTGCCGTGCTACTAATCCAGTTTTTTCCTGCCTTGATCTAAGTCACGGGTAAAACAAACCAGCAGGCAAGCGAGGTCCTGGGAGCTCAGAGTCGGGGGCCAAGAGCCTCCCACACAGTGGCTGTGCTCCTGGGAATCGGACCCCCCTTTGCGGACTTCGCATATACCTCGTGAGGCCTGAACGAAGTCGTGACATTTCGCCTCCCCAGGCCCTTGGTGCCGAGCTTCGGACGGTAGCGACGGAGGCCGGTGTTCAGGCTCTGCTCCTGCGGCGTGGCCATGTTTCTGGGGGTCGTCCCCGGGGGGTGGGGCAAGGCTGTGCAGACGTGTGCTGGCGTCCCAGACACTCCATCTGCTGTGGGATGGGGCCCCGGCCAAGGAGCCCAGCAACCCGTGCCGCCAGCTCTAAGCTCAGGGTTCTTTTCCCCGCTGGGTGGTGCCTGAGCACTCTCCGGGGACTCCTCGGGGGCTGCCTGGCCCTCTGCCCTCCTTGGGGAAGGGGAATGGGCCTATGCTTGGGACAGCTGCTTTTCCAAAGTCCAGGCTCAGATCTGATCTCCTCAGGGTTGCGGGGTCTGTCCCCGGGCTCCTGTTTCACCATCCCATCCCCCCTTCTTGAACCCAGGTCGCCGTCGTTGCTTGGTTCAGAGTCAGGAGCAGAGAGAGCTGCCGTGCCTCTCCTCTTCCTTCCCTTCTCTCTGAGCTGATGAGCACAGAAGCCTGTGCACATACTGTGTGGGGGCCACTCCCCGCCTGGCTGGTCTTCCTGCCCCAGCCCCGTGCTGTGTCCGCTCCTGTCTTCACGCCGCCGTCCTGTATCTGCAACGTTGCGGTCTCGTGACGTGAGCAAAGGCCCGCAGGGGCTCCCGGCTGCCAGCCTGCTCAGCCCCTCTGCGGCTCTTCTCCACGGACGTCAGGCAGAGAATAGTGCAGGGCTGAGGCCCTGGCCAGTTGAGAGCTGAGTCGGGCCCTCCCTGAGCCCGGTTCTCAGAAGCACCACGTTATGTCTGGACGTCCCATCTCCCTTCTCACTGGGCAGCTCTGTTACCGCAGCAGGAGAATTCCGTCTGGGGGTGGCTGGCCACTGTCCGAAGGACGCTCCTGTGGACTTGCCTGCCAAAGGCTCCCACTACTTGTAGCCACGCTCTTTGAAAGCGGACCTCCTAAGCTCTGGGGGGATGTCTGAGGCCTGCCCTCCCCCTCTGGTCTGTGGGGACACATGCTGTCATCCCTTCAAGGCTCATCGTTTGCTCCCGGCTTTCCTCCTCGTCCAGAACAGGCCCCAGGCACCCTTTCGTGGGGCGTCGTGGGGGAGGGTCTCTGGGTACATGGGGCTCTGAGGGGTTCCTGCCTGGGCTGTAGGGTGGGGCTTGGGGTCCCTGGTCGTGTCCTCACGGTGCTACACCTCTGTCCTACACCTCAGGCCTATGTGTTTCGTGAAGCAGCTTGAAGTCCCTCCGTATGGAAGCTACCGGCCTAATGTGGCCCCTGCCACCCCCAGGGCTAACCTGGCCAAGGAGCTGGAGAAGTTCTCCAAGGTCACCTTTGACTACGCAAGTTTTGACGCTCAGGTTTTTGGCAAACGCATGCTTGCCCCAAAGATTCAGACCAGCGAAACCTCACCTAAAGCCTTTAAATGTAAGTTGGGGAGACCCAGTCCTGGGAGGTTAGGGTTTGAGAGGGGGGAGGAGGGACCCCCTCACCAGCAGCACGTAGGGTCTCTCTGCCCTGGGTGTCCCCTGTCTACCACGGTGGCTTTCCCAGAGTCCGTGTCTTCCTTATGTTACTGCCACCATGTTCCCCATCATGCTCGATGTATCTCTTCACCGTTCTTGAAACAACACCCAGGTCCTTCACGGTGTGGTGTCCGAAGTTTTGAGAATAAGTTCCCTGATGTGGTCCGTCCTGTGGGGGCTCAGAGAGCTGCCACGCTGAGCCTGGGCAGACAGAATCTGTTTGCCTTCCTGCATGAGGACCGTCTCACTGGACAGTGTGTTGCGGCGTTAGCCACAGGTTTTCTGGGTACTGGTACTAACAAAATGTGTTCCTCTGAACTTTGGAGAACAACCCTTTCTGTCTGTTTTGGTCACTGAATATACCAATCTGTGGGTTGCAAGCCCATTAGCCTGAGAAACACATATGAAATGGAAAAGCAGCCCACTGAGCCCGTAAGATGGGAGCTGGTGTCTCCCCGGGGGTGTCCGGCCCTCCGACGCAGCTGTGAGGACTTTCTGTCACATTAATAATGGAAACACCAGGGGCTGACACAGCCGCCAGCACCAGTGTGGACCTTTGTCCCATCTGCTCGGTGCCATGATGCCCAGGGAGGACCTAGCATGCACAGGGATCTCTCCGGAGGTCTGGGAACTTACTGGTGCTGCCATGACGTTGGAAGTGTAACACCTGACAGCTGGTTTAGGGCTACAATATAATCACTAGAAAAGACAACATTTTATGCCTTCATTGGCCATGTTTATTTGAACGATAGCATGACTTTACTGAAGTGGTAGTATGGGGGCACCAAAAGTAGCCTTTTGAGATGCTGGGACAAGGACTTTCCTACTTGAGTCATGTTCCGGCCACTCCTGCTCACAGAGGTCTGTGCCCTCCGTCAGCGTCCCCAGCTGATAGTGTATATTCGCTGGATGCTTCAGAGAGGCTGGGATGACTTTGGAGGCGTTTGTCCTCTCTGCCCAAATGGGAAACAAGCTGGAAATGGCCTCCTGGACGCCTTCTGAGGGGACGAGCAGGGTGTGCTGTGGCCCCGTGACGGGGATGAGTGACCCTGCCCCGGGCCAGCCTCCTTAGAGCTGTGCGCCGTGCCCTCCCAGCGGCCAGAGCTCCCCACTGCGTCCGCGCGGCCGCCTCCCGTTCCGGTCGCATACCAGCTGCTGTTGTTCCCTTTTGCAGCCCAGCCTTTCCCAAGGGCCTCTCCCCCCAGGCACAGCCCCCGCCCTTCACCCCCTTCTGCAGGCTTCGACTACACGCATGACGCTGAGGCTGCGCACATGGCTGCCACGGCCATCCTGAACCTCTCCACGCGCTGCTGGGAGATGCCCGAGAACCTCAGCACGAAGCCACAGGACCTGCCCAGCAAGGTGGGTGCGGCCCCTCTGAGGAACCCCGCCGAGGAACCCCGCCGAGGAACCCCGCCGAGGCCGCCACAGGCTGGGGGGTTTACAGTCTGGACAACGAGCCCCCACGTGACATGTGCTTAGGATACTCGGTGTCCACTGGACAATCATCATTCTTACCTTCTCTCCCTCCGGCTCGTGGCTCCTGTGACGGGGGGCTGCCCGAGTCCCCTGTGAGAGCTCTGTGTACTGTGCCTAAGTGGGACTGAATGGCTGTGCGCACGCATGTTCCTCCGTGTTCCCCTGAGTCTGAGGGTCACGCACATATATGTGACCTCACGTTCTCCTGAAGCTGACGGTTGAGCACATGTTCCTGTGTGATCATGGTCAGCGTGTCTCAAGGTCTGGTGACGTTAGCAGGACCTGGGAGAGAGTGGCGGCCCCTCCGCCTCGATCTCAGGAGTTGGCGAGTCAGAATCCTGCTTCTCAGAGGCTCTCGTGTTCTGGTTTGGGCCTGCTTCTTTCCGAGGGAAACACTGTCCTGGGCTGTCTGTGACGCTGGTTCGTGGACCAGAAGTCACCCGTGGGGTTAAGTCCCTAGCACGGACTCTGCCTTTGTGGTTGCAGGCTGCGGACATCGAGGTGGATGAGAACGGGACCCTCGACCTGAGCATGCACAGACACCGCAAGCGCGATGGCGCCTTCCCGGGAGGCGGCCCCGGCGTGAAGGCCCCCGACGCCTCCCAGCGCCAGAGCAGCATCAGCGCCGCCCCCAGCAGCTCCATGGCCTCGCCCCAGTGCAGCCAGGCCTCCCGCCAGGACGAGTGGGACCGACCGCTGGACTACACCAAGCCCAGCCGCCCGCGAGAAGAGGAGCCCGAGGAGGTGAGTGTGGGGCCTGCGGGCTCTCGCATCTCTGGGGAGAGCTACTGGGGACCTGTCCCTGCACGCAGGGGGCCTGGCCACCTCTGGCAAGAGAGAACCCGGCCTGCCATCCTGGAGGGCTTTTCAGCCTGGGGCCATGCTGTGGTATTGTCCCACCTGAGAGAGAGGTCATTCTCCCGCTTCCACGGACTTGGTGATCAGCACCATCGTGGGCCCCTGGAAAGCGTGGGGAGAAGGAGGGCTTCTTTCACATCCCATGGGACGTATTTGGGAACGGCTTCAAATTCCTGGGTTTTGTGGCCTCCCCAACCCTGAATTTTGCAGCAGTCCCTCCTGACCATCTGCAGGACATACCAGCCACCTGGCTCCTTGGACAGAGGAAGCTGTAGGGTGGGCAGTGGCCTGAGTCCCGAGACCAGTACCACCTGTTAAAGAGCAGCAAGACAGGTGTCTTTGTTGGAGCTGCAGTCTGGGGACAAGGGAACCGCCCTTTCTAGCCACTCTACCCTCCTGAGAGTGGGACTGGTTGAAAGCTCTTCCCCACAGATGTGTGAGTCCTGAGTAGCAGAGCCCAGCTGCGGGGGTGGCATAGACTCCCAGGGGCCTCCACAGTGTGGGCAGGCCAGCAGGTCCCCTCATTCTCCCTCCCTGTCCCTGCCAGCACCCCCTCCCACTGACCCCAGAAGGGCAGGGGGCCAGTACCTGTGGAGGAGACCTCTCTGAGAGATAACCAGCCTGCAGTTCAGTCCTCCCACCCCCCGCACCCTCTACGCCTCTCCCATGTGTCTGCGTCACAGAGGGGGAGACTGGGTCCCTGGCTGAGGTCACTTGGCACAGTCCCATGGCTCTAACTTGGTGTTAGGCTCTGGGAGAGGGGCGCCTCTCAGACTGAGCCCTGAGTGGGACGGGCTGGCCTGGGCAAGCCCTCTGGGACTGCGTGTTTGGTTTTTTCCTTGGCCAGTGGGAGCCCAGTCTGAGGCCAGATGCGGCCCCCACAGGGGGAACCCCCCAGCAGTCTGCCCTCACCTGTTCCAGTCCTGGTCCAAGGTCTAAGCCCCCTTCCTGGTGAATGTAGCCCTTCGCTTGACTCCTCCCCGCACCTTTCCATGACTCCTGGCTCAGGCTGACATCCCTGGCTGCCTGGTCCCTCCCCTTCTCCCTTCCACACCCTCTGAGCCCCCCAAGACTCATGTCATCAGTCAGAGGTCCTGAGGTCCTTGCCCACAGAAGCCTGTCCCCATAGTCGTTCTCCCCCTAGAGCCCCAGCTCACTCCCAGTCCCTCCCTTTCCTCCAGCTCCCTTGTGGGCATGGGTGGGTCACCCCCAGAAATGCCTCCCTCATCCAGACCTTCCTGGCCCTTCTTCCACGGCCCAGGACCCCCAACTCAGACTCCCCAGCTCTGCGCGAGGCTCCTCGATTCATCCCACACCCCCACCCTTAGCTTCACCTCCCTCCCTGGCCTCTGGCAGCGGCCAGGACAGTGTCCGTGTGCCTCGGGGACACCTCCCTTGCTGTGGAATGGCCTCCTCCCTGGGCTTCTGGGAAGCTGCTGTTTATCCTGGAGACCTGGCTTAAGTCCAGCTTGCTCAGGGGAGGGAATACTGGCTCCGTGCCTTCTGCAGTCACAGTCTCTGCAGCAGGAATCACAAAACCCCCCGCCCCGCCCCTGGCATGGAGAAGCCTCACTGTCCGTCCCGGAGAGCCTCTGCTGCTCTGGGCTCTGAGCTCCGAGTCCCCAGAAATCCTGCAAGGGGCTGCTATTGTCTCGGGTTTGAGCGTGTATCACCTGGGCCCCGAGAGGGTGAGCCTTTGCCTGAGACGCACACGTGCCAGCCCCGGGACTTGGACCTCACTGACCCTGTAGGGTGTTGGCCTTCCCTACCTTCATCCTGCTCAGCCCTGTGTCCGTCGCGTCCTGCCCTCGGTTGGCTCCTAACCCCTCTAGACCTAGACCTTGGGCTCGGGAGGGGCCTGCTGTGGCCGGGGCCTGGTGCTGGCCGGGGGGCACAGGGGGTCTCAAGGCCACAGCCTGTAAGTTATTGCTCGCGCCGTGCTCTCACCGTCCTAGCATCTCAACAAGCATTGTTCGGTGGTAGTGTGCCTTGAGCCCTGAGAAGCTGTGCCATGTGTAGGTTCTTGTGTCTGGAAGGTGGCCCAGCAGCGGTCAGGTGGAGGGGACACACAGGCCTGAGGCCGTGGGAGGGCGGTGGGCTGGCCGCCTTGGGCGGTTCCCAGGCCTCGTTCCCGGGGTGGCCGGGCCCCTCTGGCCAAAGTGTGCAGCACTCTAGCCCCTCAGGGCTGCTGTCTTCTGTGTTTTCCGGGGAGGTATGTAGGTCTTCCTCCCTCATCCAGAAGGCAGGAGCCTCAGGGAACTGTCTCTGCTAGCCCTATTCTGAAGGGCCCCTCTCCCTCCGCCCCGGGTCGGCCCCCCGCCAGCCGGTTAAAACGTCTCCCTGCTGGTCTTTTGCAGTCAGAGCCAGCAGCCCATTCTTTTGCTTCTTCTGAAGCAGATGACCAGGAAGTGTCAGAAGAGAGTTTTGAGGAGCGGAAGTACCCCGGGGAAGTTACCCTGACCAACTTTAAGATGAAGTTTCTCTCCAAGGACATAAAGAAGGAGCTGCTCACGTAAGTCCCCACCTGGGCCAAGAGGCCTCCTTGAGAGTCTTCGTACTCTGGAAGAAAGCGTGCCCTGGTCTGAGTCCCTAAGACCAGATGTGCTCAGCCCCAGGCCTTGTCCCTGCCCCAGCTTAGCGCCGACCGTCCTGTTGGCCAGAGAGGTTGGGCGACCTGCGTGACGGCCCTCTTGAACCCGGCCGTGGGTGACAGGTTTCCCGTTATCTCTGCGCTGCACTGGGATCTTACACAACCTTCTAGTAAGAGCAAGGGAGAGCCCCTGTTTGGGCCCACAGAGCAGCGTGAGGGCTGAGGGAAGCAGACCCTCTCCCAAGCCACAGCCATTTGCCCTGGCTCACAGAGCCCACTGGTGTGCCCTGTGCTTCAGGACTCAGTGCCCTTGGCTCTGCCAGCCCAGCCAGCCCCTTGGAGCTGGTCCTCACAGGCTTCTAGCAGACGCTGCTGCAGACAGGGGAAGCTGCCGGTAGATAGGGAGTCTTCCCGCAGCTGGATGCCACCGCACAGCCTCTGGTCAACCCTCCTCGAGCCCCGCTTCTCTTGCAGGACTGTGGGAGGCTGTGGCTGGTGGCTGTGCCGCCGGGGACCCAGCCCTCCCCTGTGCTTGGTTTGTCCCTGGGTTTCCTCTTCTGCTGTCTATGAACCAGACCTGCAACTGCTCTGCCCGGGCTCTGGTCTGGGACCTTGTCCTCAGAGAGGGTCACGCCGCTGTAGGAAGGGACTGCCTGCCTGCACGTTCCCGGGTGCACCCGTGTGCGTACCGAGATGTCCCCGCTTCACACTGAGCTGGAATTGGGTTCCTTTTTCCTCCCTGAGTTTAGCTGTGTGGGACAAGCTTGCTGTCTGAGGCCGTGGGGGGAGGAGTCTCCCCTTGGCTCGTGGGTGAGTCGAGGACAAGTGTCAGCCCCTCTCCCCCAGTAGGCTCGCCCAGGGGGCAGGCCTGACAGGTGTGCCTTGCTCTCTGCTCTGACACTCTTTTTCCTTTGTTCAGCTGCCCCACCCCTGGCTGTGACGGCAGCGGCCACATCACCGGGAACTATGCCTCTCACCGCAGGTTCGTCCCTGCTCGGGTCCAGGCTGGCCTGGGTGCTGTGTGGTGGGTCTTCCCCTCTCCTCCTCTGCTCCCCTCTGGCTCACCCCAATATCCCATCTCTTCTCTTTCAGCCTCTCTGGTTGCCCTCTTGCTGACAAGAGCCTCAGAAACCTCATGGCTGCCCATTCTGCTGACCTCAAGTATGTCTGCCCTCCTGGCCTCCCATCTCTTGGGCGGCTCCCTTGCTCTGCTCTCTCCTTCCATGAGGCTCCAGCCAAAGTCGGCCTTCTCCAGGGCTCCAGCCCTAGGGAAGCCCCTCCCAGCAGCATGGGGCAGAGAGACAGGCCACGGAGGGGCCGACTTGCTTGCCTGGGGCTTCTGCTGCTGCCGCCTGTGTCTCTCTGAGTGCTGCTGTCTGCCTGTCCCTTGCTGTGGGCTCCTGTGCCGCCCTCAGCCCTGCCAGCTGCTGTGAGGAGGGAGGGCCGGAGGGCCTTGAGATGAGCAGGACCTGTCTCTGGCCCCTAGTGGCCCAGCCTGTCCTCCCTCTCCTGAGGACCCAGGATGGGGTTGTCCGGGCCTGCTTCTGTCACTGGCGTTGAGGTGTGGGAGAAGTCCAGAGCTGGCCTTGGCTCCTAGGTCTTGCTGTGGCTCCGCGGGCTTCAGGCTGTGCAGCTCTCATGAAGGGATCTGGGTGCTGATGATGATAGAGAAAACTCTTGGCCCTTCCCTGTTCCTATGACCACTGCAGCTGCTTCTGTCTTGGCACCTGGTGATCCTCCCAGAGATGCCTCTCCACGCTCATCCCTTCTCTTTGCCGAGCACCCCCGCTTTCTGCTTCTCCTCCCTGTCCCTAACACACAGGCCGGCCAGGCCCTGTGGGCACCCACTAGCCTGCTTGACCACCCTGCTCAAATGCAATGCAAGCACCCAGAGGTTTCCCAGGTTTTCAGCATCCTCTTGGGGCTGGATTTGGGGGCTGTTGTCATCTTAGGTTTTTGTGCATTCAGGTGAGCTGTGGCCTTGCCACCACTGTGGCCCTGAGCCAGGCAGTGCCAATCCCGGCTCCCAGGCTGAGCAGAGGCTCGGGAAGGAGGTCCTGCTCTTGTGCTTTCAGCTCACTCCCTCCCCAGGGGTGTTCGACCCTCCCTCAGGCCTCCATACTGAGTGTCCCTGAATCTGGGCTCATTCTGTCTGAGGCCAGATAGGAGCTGGGGTCCTGGGGCCTCTAAGATGAAGGGCCGTCGCTGCCAAAGTCTTCCGGGGGCCTGAGCTGATCTAGAAACAGGGCAGGAAGCTTTAGCTCTCTGCAATGTCCCCATTCTGCCAGCCTCCTCTTTGTCACTCTGGGGAGGCTGTTCTGGTCCCAGGAGCCAGAAGCGTGTCATTGGCTGTTGTTACCAATGGGGCCTTCTGTTCTAGGCAAGGTTCACCACCAGAATCGCCCTTTGAAGAGTTACCAGCTGTAACGTGAACCTTTTCCAAGGCTCAGCTCGTGGCACATTCACACTCATGCCCTTGCCATGTCCAGCCCCAGATGTCTAGTTGAAACCATCCGTCCTGTAGGCTCAGGACCCTCTTCCTGAACCTCCCCTCCCTTTCCTTCCTCTCTTCTCCTAACGTCCTTCCCACGCTCTTTTTTCCTGTTTCCTTTTCCAGTTGAACAGTAATTAGCTCTCATGGTTTTCCAGGTTGAGGGCCTCAATGATTTGAGAGCTCAAGGACTTTCTTCCTGCAGAACAGGTGCTCAGGGCCTGGTCTGGGTCTGGAAACATGGCCTTCCAGGAGGGTTAGTGCTCTTTTATGACTAACAGCCTGTGAGGAACCTTAACCCACACTTGCTTAGAAATAGCAGCAGGAGGTCTTCCTCGTGTGGAAACAAGTCACTCATCAGCTTCGGCAAGGTCTGGGAAGGTGTCCTGACTGGCCCCAAGCTCTTTTCTGGACCCAGAGGTCTTTCTGTGGGAGTCAGCGCTGTCCTCTCAGGACACAGCAAGGGCCTGGGGTGGATGTGGGCAGGCCTCCAACGTGGTCCTGGCGCGCTAGTGTTTCCCTCTCCCTCTTCCCATCGAGTGGGCATCTTGTAGAGGCTGTTCCTGACCAGTCTTGTGGCCATGATGGGGGAAGATGACCTGCCCCTGCCTTGCAAACGGCTCCCTGGGTGGCCTCCCTCTTGACAATGGGTGCAGAGACAGTCTCAGATCGTGTGTTTTCTGTGCTTTAATAGAATCCCAAGGGCATTTGCTCTTCCCTACCAAGTACCCAGTGTGGTCAGGGGCTGGGGACATTGCTGCCGTGGGCCGCTCAGCCCCGTCTATGTGTGGGGATGTAAGGTGCAGTGTGCGTCCCCCGCAAGGCTGTGATGGGGGCTCTGGCGGGTGTGGGTGGCCTCCCCACCACGGGAGAGGGTGGGGCTCCAAGGCGAGGCCTGCTGCACACCGCCAAGATGTAGAGTGTCCCTTAGACACCGGACCCATCCTCTTGCCCAGACAATGCACTCAGAAGCAGATGGCGGGAGGGTTCCTGCAACTTGGCCCGGTGGGCCCTCAGGGGCACAAGAGCGGCTGACGCAGCCAGCGCCCTCATTCCCCGCTTCTCCACCCACACCTCATCCTCTACTGGTCACGCCTTTTGGGAAGAGCCACTGAACCGGGCCTTGGCAAGGAGTGCTGGTGCCCCCTGCCTGGAGAAGGTGTGCCTCCGTGGGTGCCCTTGTGCTGGGACCTGGCAGGGACCCTCCCCATGTGCACGCTCTCCTCTGCCAGCCTTACTCACAGGGGCTGTGGGGGCTCCACCAGAGTCTGGACCCGCACACAGGGCATCAAGGCCTGGGGGTGCTGATGGCCTGCCCACCACCAGCAGCATGGATCTGAGTTCTGCCGTGTTTTCATGAAGCCGAAAAGGAATGGAGCCCCAGGCAGCCACCAGAGCCCCTGCGAGCCCAGGACGGAGAAGCCCGCTCCTCAGTCTTGGCGCTTAGCCCTCCGGAGAGCAGGGACAGGGCTCTTGCTAGCGTGGGCCATGAGGGTGGTCGGCAGGGCCTTCTGGGCTGAGGAGGGGCAGCAGGGCAGCGGCGGGGCCTTGGGCTCAGCGGAGAGTTGTGTGAGGTGTACCCTGATGTGTCTGAAGGACTCCGTCACTGCAGCAAGGAGCCAAGCCCAGTAGCTCGCTCCCTGGGACCTTGGAGGATGCAGAGACACAGAGTGTCCCAGCAGGACCCATGTACCGGTTGGGGGTTTGTGTGAAAGGGTGAGGCCCACCTGCACGGAGGTGCTGGGTGGTGTCTCCTATCATGCAAACATATTGATGTAATGTGGGAGGGTTGGGATGTGAGCACATCTGAGCAGACCAGGAGCCACCATAACCTCAGGGGGTTTGAGTCACCCCTGAATCCAACGGCAGGGCGATTGGACTGGCTGGCCTGCTGGCAGGCCGGGGGACCTCCCACGTGTGGCCCACAGGACAGGGAGGAAGCGGAGGGCTCGAGACAGTCAGTGGGATTGGAGAAGGAGCTGGTGGGATGGGCATGGCCCCCCTCCGTGTTGCTACACCAGCTTTGTGCGTCCTTGGATGGGAACGGGCAGTGTGGTCCTGCTGGGTTCTAGGAGGCAGCTGGAGAGCCGTGGGGGGTGGCCTTTGACTGTGCCGGGAAGATCCTGAGGAAGGGAAGGGTGTGGGCATAGCACAGGGGCCTGAGGCCCAGAGAGCTCTGCTGACTGAGAGGCAGACACCTGTGCACTGTTTCAGTGGACGCAAGTCCCCATAGCCCTCTCGGGGCCACTTTCATATTGGGAAACGGCCTCAGTTCCCACGGTTTCTTCTCTGTGTGAGGATGAGGACTGATCAATGAGACTCCGGTTGTGAGCCCCAGGGTCTTGCCCGGTCCCACAGGGCTGGAGCCGCATCCTTCCACCGAACAAGGTACGGAGTGGCAGACCTGATCCAGAGGTTTCTGGTGGACCCACTCGCAGAACCGGGCAGCCCTCCCCATTCTGGCACCAGCGGAAACTCACTCATTCTTACACCGTGGACTTTCAGGGAAAAGCAATTTTTTTTAAAAGATTTTATTTATTTGACAGAAAGAGATCACAAGTAGGCAGAGAGGCAGGCAGAGAAAGAAAGTGGAGGAAGCAGGCTCCCCACTGAGCAGAGAGCCTGATGCGGGGCTCGATCCCAGGACCCTGAGACCATGACCTGAGCTGAAGGCAGAGGCTTTAACCCACTGAGCCACAGAGGCACCCCAGGGAAAAGCAATTTAAGAAAACTCATACTTGTGTATTCAAGTGTAATTTTCACTTTCCACGAGATACGTTTGTCAAACACTCTGGATGCATCAGGCTGGGCTTCTGTGTTGGGTGTCCCCTTCCTCACCCCGGGCCAGTGAGGATCAGCCTCTGGCCCTGTGGATCTGGACTCACGGAGATGCGCGACTCTAGGTGATGGCGCCGTGGGTGGTGTGTCCTGGCTGCCCAGCAGACAGCAGTTCATTGGCTCAGGCAGCGGCCGTCCTCCATGAAAACAACTCCTCCTCCTCCTGGTCACATCAAGGAAGGGGAGCCCATCTTAGCTGTTAGGTTTGCCATTCTAAATGCTATCTAAAGGCCCATATGTGTTCTGGAACCTTCTAGTCCAGCCTAGAACCCTGTAGAAGGCCAAAGTGGGAGCCCATCTTTCCTGCAGTGGAGATGAGCTCCTGTCTTGGCCTCCTTGGACCCCTTGGGGAGACTGGGTGGCACCGTTCTGAAGGCTGGGCGTCATGGCAGCAGACCGGCCGGACACGCACGCCATTTCTGAGACCAGTGCTGAGGAGGTGGTGGGCCCGCTCAGGGGCTGGGGACAGAGGGGGCCCTTTTCTGGTCAGGCATCCTCCCTGGCTCTGGTTCCAGCTCCTCTGTCCTCCGCAGGTGCCCCACGCCCGGCTGTGACGGCTCCGGCCACATAACAGGGAACTACGCCTCACACCGAAGGTGAGCCGTGCCCCGGGGCGCCAGGACCGATGGAGTCGCGGGGGGGGGGGGGGGTCTCTTCTGCAGACAAAGCTGCCGTGCTCCCAATGGGACAGTGCCATTGCTGGCAGCTGGAGCCTGGTTCCTCTCTGTCATCAGAACTGATCTCCTGAAGCCTGCTCAGGCCTCCCTGTGCTGCCAGACCTAGAGGGCTCCTGGTGGCACCGCCTGCCTTGGCCCCTGCCCTGGAGAGCGCTCCAGGACAGAAGCTCCCTGGGGACCCACGGGGCTGCCAGTCCCAGAGCGAGAGGGGCGGGGCAGACGGGCTGAGAGGTTGCTGTTCTGGGACCACCGTGGCTTTCCTTCCTTTTTCAAAACCAGCTTGTCAGGCTGCCCTCGGGCCAAGAAAAGTGGAGCCAGGGTGACGCCCACGAAGGACGACAAGGAAGACCCCGAGCTGATGAAGTAAGTTGGCGTCTTACTGACTCCCGTGGGGGGGTGCAGAATTGGGAGGTTCCTGTCTGTTTTAATTGTGAAAAGCTCCTTCTAGGCTCCTGTTGCATGACCACGGCTGGCCAAGGACATGCCCGTTCTTACAGAAGCTCTCCTACGGTGTGTGTGGGCACCTGGGAAGCTGGAGCCATGCGTGTTGTATCGAGGACACGCACAGGCACTGCTCCTGCCTGTGCGCCTCACATCTGGGGTGGTCTGGTGGGGCCAGGAGAGGCAAAGGGCCCTGCTGCCCGTGGACCTGGAGGGCCACCTGGACGCCCCAGGTGCCCCAGGGTATGGGGCAGCCCCACAGGGTGCTCATGGGTACTGAAACCTGCCCCGCTGTGGTCTTCTGTGCAGGGAAGCGACAGGTGCAGGAATCGGGGAGGAGAGGGTGGTTAGAAAGATGATCAGTCTTCAGACCAGATGTGTTTGCACACTCACACACCAACGCAGGGAGCTGGTATGGTAAGAGGGATCCGAGGAGGGTCACCCTGAGCTGGGACCTCAACACTCCTGAGAGGAGGACCAAGGACATCCTGGGCCTTACATGCTCAAAGTCCTTGATACCCTCTCCTGGCCACTCCCTGGGGGCGCCTACCTTGTCATCAGGGGCTGGTGTGTAGACCCTGACTCCGTGAGAGCCCCACTTGGCAGGGCTTGTGTTGCTGCAAGTTTATGCTTGCAGAAGGGAACTAGCCCCCGAGCCTCCCACTTTCCGGTAGGGGCAAGGCTGGGCCACAGGGGCACACAGAGTGACCCATCATTCACATTTCCCAGGACTTTCAGAGCTGACAGTGGACAGAGCATTCGGTCCCCTTGCCAGCTGAGGAGTGGAAAGGAGGGGTTCTGGCTGGTGCAGACCTTGGGGCTGGCTTGGTCAGGACATAGCCAGGCAGGTGCACAGAAAGCCCGGCTGCCCGGTTGTGTTGACTTTGGGCCAAGAGTAGCTGGATGCTCTTGGAGGGGAGCATGTGGAGGGGAGCAACCGGGACCAAGTCAGTGGCTCCTCCTTGGAGCTCAGCCCAGCTGCACCCAAACATCTGCTTGGCCACAGAGGATAGACCCGAGTGACCACCAGCACACCCTTCCAGGGGCTGGCCCCACCAGCTGTTAGGTGTGAAAAGCTGTGGCTTGTTTCTTTAACTAAGTGTTTATAATAAAACTACAATGGATGCTAACTCAAAAATGCAAAGTATGTGGACATTGGTGTCATGAATGCAGCCACTAAAATGCTAGCACGAAGGAAGAGCATCTGTCTTTCTGGGAAGCCATGTAAATGCAAGCCGCTCTGGAGGTAGACAGGGTCTGCTGGCGGGTCGCGATAAGTGAATTGTGCTGCATTTGCAAATGATGAAAATCACAATCAGCATTTTTCAAGTTAACGGGAAAAAATGGTTTTCCTCCTGCTAATGTGCTGTCAACTTTGCTTTTTAAATAACAAGATTTTTGCAGCCAAGTGGAGAATATGACTTAGAAGCAGGTCAGCATTTACAGGACGGCTGGACGTTGAGAATGGCTCCATGGCAAGGCTGGGGAGGGCCCCCTCCCCAGCCACAAACCCTCACCGTACTTACAACTGAATGCCATCTTCAATCAGGTCCTGCAGCCTGACGGCTTTCCTGGGCATGGGCTTGCTTGTGTCGCTGTGGAGGGCTGGTGGGGAAGAGTCCCCTTTTAGGACACCTGTGTCTGCATCCTTTGAGAATACGTCCTGTCAGCACACGGAGGTAAATCCCTTTGGCCAAAACAAAATCAGTGGCCGTACAAGTCTGTGGGTGTACCAGAGTGCGGTTGTCATCGGGGGCTGGTAGAGAGCCCCCGCCCCCGCCACCGTCCCCAGCCACATCTGCAGCTAACAAAGAGGGGTCCTGGTGGTCCCACTGCCAGCTCACCTGGGAGGCACAGAAGCTACCTGACCTGGTGCCCCACACGCATCTTGACGTGAGCTCACCTGGCAGCTCGGAAGGTCTGGATACTGGATGTGGAGGGAAAGCAAAGCAGTGTTACTGTCCACATGTCTGAAGCACTCACTGTGAAGGCGTTCCCGGACTCTCTCCTGATGAGGAGGGTTAGGGTTTTGCAAAGAATATGAGTAAACAGAATTCAGACTCAACCGTGTGTTGTAACCTCGAAAAGCGGCCTCTCATCTGGTCTCTTGATGCTGTGCTCTGGGGGGCTCAGAGCTGCGTCAGGGTCCTCTGGGCCCCCACAGCTGGGCGGTGTCCAGGTGTGAGGGGCACACACGGAGCGCAGCCTCCCTAAGCACCTTACTGGGCCCGTGGCAGTGTCTCTACTCTGGACTGATTGCTGAGGCTCTGTGGCCATCCCGCCTGTCTGAGGCCCACGTGGCTGGGAGGAAGAAGAGAGAGGGATGGGCACCAAGAGAGGGGACAAGTAAGGACAGATCCAGGCCAAGGAGGCTGGGAAAATGTCTACAGTGGCCACCTTGGGAGCAAGGCCACAGTGCAGGGGCCACTTTTGGGCAGCAAGGCCCTGTCCCCTCACCTGCAGTGTCGGGAGCTCTGGGATGGCCCACACCCAGCAGAAGACTTCCTGCCTTTGACTTTCCCACCCCAGGGACCACCATCTAAACTGGGGGAACATGTCTATTTTCAGGGTCCTGTGTGTTTGACAGGCTTGCAGCCCCTAAGAAGTGGGTAAAACCAAATGGCCAATTACACGGGCCTTGTTTGCTGGAGGGAGAAAACCGAGAACTTGCAGAGGCAAGATCTCGTCTTCAGCCAGTTGTGGGTTCCTGGGGGTCCCAAGCTCAGAGCCCGGGATCCCGAAATGCTGGTGCTCGGAAGGTACGGCGGGGACTTCCTGGTCCAGGTCCCTCCCGAAGGCCATGAGGTCGGATGCCCGGAGCCCCCCACATTAGCCCGTTTTCTGTGGTGCACGGATCCCGACGGCAGCATGGCAGGGTGCGGGGGTGGTGGTGTTCACTCTGAACCTTCTCCAGTTACCTCACCGGTTCCTGGGGCCTGTGTTACTTCCTCAAGGGCTTCTCTCCTTGTCCCAGGACAGCCTGAACAACAGAAAAGGCCATTCCAAGCCGGCCTCGGGCAGGAGTCACGACGGAACGTCTGAACTGAGTCTTTCTTGCATGAGCCCAGTGGCCTGGCTTCTTCCTTCCAGAACACGCATTTCAGATGGGGCAAAGCAAAGCTGGGACATCTGTGGACATCATGCCACAACAGTCTCATTCTGGGGTGCTGTGGGGTGAGGGGCCCCAGCTGTCCCCACACTGCGTGGCTGCAGGTGCACTTGTGACCTTCTGGGACCCCCAGGATCCCCTGGTGCTGTGCCTGGTGCAACCCCCAGGAGTGGCCTCCACGTTGCTGGGGTGATGTAGACTTGATGTGGCAGCAAGGTCTAGGTGTAGACCCAAAGGCTCCAGAGAGCTAGCCTAGGGCCCAGGGGCATCACGGCTCCTGGGGGCTGGGGAGAGAGGGTCGCTTGTCACCTTCCGGGGGTGCAGGGGTGTGAGGTTGCAGCTGGAGAGGGAACATGGTCCCTGCTGCTTTCCTGTCTGGTTGGAACGGCTTCAGGAATCGCTCGGACAGTGGGAGTTTATTCAGGAGCCCCCAGCAGTCTCAGCGTCCAGCTTGGGAGAGTCTCTGGGCTTTTCCCCCCTTTTCCAGTGCCCTGTGCTCACCTCTGACCCTTTCGTGCCAGGTGCCCTGTTCCCGGCTGTGTGGGGCTCGGTCACATCAGTGGCAAATACGCATCCCACAGAAGTGCGTCAGGCTGCCCATTGGCTGCTCGGAGGCAGAAAGAGGGTTCCCTTAATGGCTCCCCCTTTTCCTGGAAATCACTGAAGAACGAGGGGCCTACCTGCCCCACTCCGGGCTGTGACGGCTCTGGCCACGCCAACGGTAGCTTCCTCACCCACAGGAGGTAATGGCCCCACACATCCTGGGTCTCGTCAGGCAGGCTCCTTGGGATGGGCCAGACTAGGGCTCAGTTGTGGCCTACAGTTTCTCCAGGGAAAAGCAAGGCCCAGCCTGGTAGCCGACTGGGGAAAGCCATGGGCGATGTGTTGGGACCAGAACATGGTGTTTGTGACACGTGTCACCCCATGAGGCTGCTGTCAGGAGTCCCCCCAGCCTCATCCCAGTAGCGTCCCTTCAGCAAGAGCAAGCAGGGCCCTGAGTCTGGTGTGCGCGTTCTGGAAACAGGCCCCTGGCTTTTCATGAGCGGCTCTGTCACACCTCATGACCCTCCTGCTGGGGCCTCTTCTTGAAACTTTGGGTTGAGGCCTCTGCCTGCTATGGAAGGGACATGGTGACAAGAGATCTCCCTGCCTGGGCTCTCGCTTGTCCCCCAATACCTGCTCCAGGGCTGGGGGGCCTCAGAGCTCCCATTCTCTTCCTCTGGGTGCCAGGCAGCTGAGGTGTTGACCAAGGCGCAAGGGGTTCCCAGACAGTCCTTCTTCGTCTTTCTTTTGTTCTGCCCTTGTCTCTCCACCTAGAAGATTAATTAGCTCATTCATTCCTCAAGCCTTCACTGGGGGTCCATACCAGGGCCAGGCCCTTAGACAGAGCTGGGAACAAGGGTGGATTTGGGCCAGGCGGGTGGGGCAACGATTCTAAGCGAACGATTGAGTGAGGTACTGAGGACGGCGGAAGGGGGAGGTGCTGTGGGGAGGATAGTGACTGGGAAGACTGAGGAAGGCCTCTCTGAGAAGGGGATAAGGAGCTGGCCCCACAGCATCTGGGGACGAGCCTGTAGGGCTATGGCCAGAGCTGGGAAAGGCATGGATGCTGAATAAGGAGCGTATAGCTTGGGGGCTGGAGCCCGGGAGCAGAGAAACAAAAGAAGTAACTGAGAAAGTTCCAAGCCAGAATCCTACCAGGCTGCCAGCCAGCAAGGACTTGGCTTTTTTTATGATGTGTCATCTTGGACTGGACCTTGGTGTGTGACTTTGCACTGGTTTTTGGTGTGTGACCTTTGCTTCCAGCTTGTCTGGCTGTCCCAGAGCGACCTTTGCTGGAAAGAAGGGAAAGGTCTCAGGGGATGAGGGTCTCAGCACCAAGTTCAAGACGAGTGACGGTAAGTCCCTGCGGCTCCTCCGAGGGACCTCCGTGGCCTGGGCAAGGAGCAGTGCTGGTGGGAGGGCTAGGGAGGCGGAGTCCCTCCTGGAACGAGTGGAGACAGACCCCTGACCTGAGCGACAGGTCTCCCAGCCTCAGCTCTGAACCCCTGGCTGCTTGGAGTCTGGGCTCCTGACCATTAAGTGGCATGCTTGCTCTCACCTGAGTATTGGTAAGTGTTGGCATCAGAGAACCCTGATGGCAGCAGCAGAAGCCACGTTCTTGGGGTTTGTGGAGTTGTGAACTCAGTTTCAAGGAAGAAGGAAGCTGAGAAAATTCAGCACCACCTGGAAGACTTCCATCTTCCTCCTAGTGATTAATACCTGACAGAGAGATTTGTACTCTCCTACCCATCACCTAGGGTTGGGGGCAAATGTAGACACATGGCCACTAGTCTCCAAGACCAACTTTTCCAGGATAACATGTGGGATATGAGCTGCCCAGCATGCTAGGCTGGTCGCCTCTGCTTGGAGAGCGTCCTCAGTCCCACCTAGAAAACAGGCCTCCACTGCACCCCCACATGCTGGCCTGGGTGTAAAGCCAAGAGCCACAACCAAGGTTTCTCTCTGGAGCAGTACTGGAGAATGATGAGGAGATCAAGCAGCTGAATCAGGAGATTCGTGATCTGAACGAGTCCAACTCTGAGATGGAGGCCGCCATGGTGCAGCTGCAGTCCCAGGTGCGTGGCATAGCTGCAGGCCCAGGTGCAGTCCCAGGTGGGTGACACACCTGCAATCCCAGGTGCCATCCCAGGTGCAGTCCCAGGTGGGTGGCGTAGCAGCAGCCCCAGGCACAGTCCTAGGTGCAATCTCAGGTGGGTGGTGTTGCCACCTGCCACCCCCTCAACCCAAGGGGTCCTTGTACTCTCAGCCTCCTCTTCCATGAGAGAGCTGAGCTCCTCATCAAGGTCACTGTTAGGCTCAGGGACACTCAGAACAAGCCACACCTGCCAGCTTCGATAGCTCTTCCAGCAGTAGGGGTCCTGAGGTGCCCACGCTGGGGGTCCCGTCAGGGTTAGTGGTCCCATCAGGGTTCGCTGCTGGCCCTGTCAGAAGGAATGGTATCACGGGGTGGGTTCTGAGGGCTGGGCTGGAGCCTGATTCTACCCCAAGACTGCCATATAGCAGCCTAGTGACCTGGCAAACCTGTTATCAGTCTGTACCTTGATGTCCTTACTGGTAGAATGGAGGTGATAATAGAAATCAACTCTGTGAGGTTGTTGGAAGAGAAACGTGTTTCTATGGGAATGTGTCTGTCCCCGAAAGAGTCACTATTGCTGTGTGATAAGGTTACAAATTACTTCAAGTATGTGCAGCATATCTCTGTGATTTCCCCAGAATGAACACTGGCCATCAGGGAAAAAAAAAAAAAAAAAGCAATGAGGTTCTTATTTTGGAAAGAAGCCCCATCCTTAGCTGTTGAATGGGGGCCAGAGCAGAGCTGGGGGCACAGAAGGAGGGGCCCCACATAGCTCTGTCCCCTATGGCAGTGACAGAGGGACAAGGAGGTGACCGGACCCTGCAGGATCTGAGGGCAGAAAGGACAGATGGGAAGGTGGGGAGGCCCCTTCCCAGAGGCTGCAGTGGGATATACTGGAGGCCCACGTGTCTTGTTATGCTGTTCCTTCTACTGGCCAAGGGGCTTTTATGCTGGACTCGGAAGCCTAGATAAAAATAGCATCAGCCCACAGAGATCAGGAAGGATTTTCATTCTGCCATGCATCATTTTCCCTCAGGCTCATGGGCAGTAGAAGGAGAGGAGTTACTGGGGCGTCTCTGGGTGCTGAGACATATCACTGTGGAACTGTCACCCTCTGTCTCTCACTGCTCTCTATCTTCCCCAAACCTTGGGGGCAGCTCCTCTGATTTTTCTTTTCTTTTCTTTTCTTTTCTTTTCTTTTCTTTTCTTTTCTTTTCTTTTCTTTTCTTTCCTTTCCTTTTCTTTTTTCTTTCTTTTCTTTTCATCTTCCTTTCCTTTCCTTTCCTTTCCTTTCCTTTCCTTTCCTTTTCTCTTCTTTTCTTTTTTCTTTTTCCTTCCCTTCCCTTCTTCCCTCCCTCCCTCCTTCCTTCCTTTTCTTTTTTTTTGTCTTTCGCTGATTTCCACCTTTTTATTCCCTAGCATTTTTTTTGACTGACTCAGAGCCCTCTTTCCTCTGGAGGGAGTTTTCATTCCTATCCTCTGCAGAAAGGCTCGGGCAGGGGCGCCTGGATGGCTCAGTGGGTTAAGGCCTCTGCCTTCGGCTCAGGTGATGGTCCCGGTGTCCTGGGATTGAGCCCCGCATCGGGCTCTCTGCTCGGCAGGGAACCTGCCTCCTCCTCTCTCTCTCTGCCTGCCTGTCTGCCTACTTGTGATCTCTATCTGTCAGGTGAATAAATAAAATCTTTAAAAAAAAAAAAAAGAAAGGCTCGGGCAAAGAGAAGGCAGAATCCTAACTCCTACTCAAACTGTTTTAAGCCAAGGACTTGTTACCAGGCGATGAAGCATAATGTTTCCCAGCCGTGTGGTTGGAAGAAAGCACCCCACTCCATGCATTGTCCCCTAAAAGTCAGCTCACCTTCCTGCACCTAGGGCATGGTGCAGTGAGTCACACTCAGCCACTGCCTGAGCTCCCTTGGGATGCAGTCAGGTTGGGAGCTGCCCTCCCAAGCATGTCTTCTCCAGACCGGGCCCCAGGCAGGCTTCCCACCTTCCCCATACCAACTGTGAACCTCTGCCTAGGGTTGCGCTGACCCTGAGATGCCCCAGGGCAGGCAGGACTGGCCGTGACCGTCAGCCCTGTTGTCGCCGTCCCTTCGAGGGTGTGCTGGAGGGGTCATTGAGGGGCTCTGCTCAGCTAGGACTAGCAGAAAGAGAAGCTTGCCTTCCACAGCTTTGTGAAGGCATTTTGTTGGTCTTTCTGGTGGGAGGAAGACCCAAAGGTGGCCAGACCCCCACAAAGTGGATGCAGTATTCCCATTACAGACAAGGAGGAAGAAACATGGTGAACTTCAATAGCACAGCGGGCGGTGGGCTGGGACGTGAGCCCAGGGTGCTTCGGAGTCTGTGTTCCTCCCTGACCCTGCAGGGCAGAGGTGACTCAGAAGGCTGTGGCTCCACACGGTCCCTGGCTCCGTCACCGCATCCCTTCCTGCATCCAGGGACCAGGGTCCCGGCCTCTTTGCCCGCTCCCAGAGAGGCATGAAGTGTGACACAGATGGCATGCTGGTTGTGTCCGGGGAGCACGAGAGGGACGTGGTCCACGGGACTCCCACAGCAGGAGGCATTTCCCATCTTGCTCTGGTGCAGATCTCCTCCATGGAGAAGAGCCTCAAGAACATTGAGGAGGAGAACAAGCTCATCGAGGAGCAGAATGAAGCGCTGTTTCTGGAGCTGTCGGGCCTGAGCCAGGCCCTTATCCAAAGTCTTGCCGACATCCGCCTTCCACACATGGTGAGCAGGACGTGGCCCTGCGGGCACACTGCCGAGCTGGTGGCTGAGCCCCAGGACTCTGGGGGAGGTGAGGAGGGCAGGGCACCCCTCTGCATCTGGGGTCCTGCCTGAAGGGCCCCAGTCCAGGCGCTCGGCCCCCCAGGCTGCTGGCTGTGGAGGCTCTCCATCTCCTGAGGGCTGTGGGATCTGCAGCCGGACACTCATGTTTGTTTCAGCCCCAGGGTGCTGGTGGTACCCCTGGAAGGCCTGGTCTTGTCTCAGGGGGCATGCTGTGTTCACCCATAGATTGCTGTGGCTTCTGAAAATCACGGACCCATTGTACAGATGGGGCTTTCTGACCCACTTCTGTTCTCCAGGAGCCAATATGTGAGCAGAATTTCGATGCCTACGTGAGCACCCTCACTGACATGTACTCCAACCAGGAGTGCTACCAGAACCCCGAGAACAAAGACCTCCTGGAGAGCATCAAACGGGCTGTGAGGGGCATCCAGGTCTAGAGCTCATAATCCAGAAGCCACCCCACCGATCAGGACACCTGGGGCACCCCGACTTGGCTCCATCGATTACCTCCCTTGCCCTGCCCCCGCGGTGGAGACGCCCAACTTGCAGAGACCAGTTGGCAGCCCAGGGCGGGCGCATCCAAAGGGTGCCTGGAAATCCGTGTCTTTCGCACTGTGCTTGCCAGGCTGGAGGCCTCGACCTCCCCACACGAGTGCAGGGCAAGGCACGGCGTATTACAAAGTGATTTATTTTTGTTTTTGGAAAGAGATCTGAAGGGCAGCTCCAAGTCTCCAGTGGAAGCTCATGGACAAGGTTCTCAGGGAAGTTTCAGACTTGCAACCACAGTGTTCCTTTGTCGAGGCTGGGAGGGTAGCCGTGGGCACGGGGCGGGTGGTGTGGGTGACACGTCAACCTGGAGCACGCGGCCAAGGGTGCGCGTCTGCTCGATGAGGTCCATGTGGCAAGTGTGTTTTCTGTTTTCATTTAATTTAGTTTTGTCTTAAGGACGGAACAAAGCACCGTTCCAGTGGGTTAGAAATAGACCGGCAGCCCGTGGTCAACGCGAGGGCTCTAACCTGGGATGCGTCTGGATGTTCCACAGGAGAGCACCTCACACATCTGGGGGGGTGGCACCTGCACAGACACGTACAGCTCGGGGTCACGCTCCCTCTCGGGGCTGCAGCCTTCGGATCCAGAGCTAGGTCAGGGCCAGGGTCTCCGGCTCTCTGTGTGTCCACCGTGCCTGTGACCTGTCACTGCCGCATTACCCGGGTCACGGCTGAGCTCGAATGAGGTGGGGACGGCGTCAGCAGGGTCAGGGATAGATTCCTAATTTAGAGACCACCAAGATTCATTTCTTTTAAGATCCATTCATTCAAGATGAGAAAAAAATTGTACTAGAAAGTGTTAAACGCAATGTCCCTAACATGTAAATAGAGTCCAGATCGGTTGTGACTACAATTCAAGTTAGTATTTAAACGTAGAGAATTGCACTTCCTGGAAGAAATAAAAAAGTAGTTAGTTTAATTATTCTGTAAATTATTTAATTTTGTCAAGATGTAAGTATTTATATTCACAACCTCTTATGTTAACATTTGCTATTTATTTAACCTTTTTATTTATTAATTTTGTACTATTACAACTAGACCCCACGCCAGGACACCACGAGAGGGAAATCAATGAAATCAAGGCAAAATCCATGATTGGACTATAAGAAAGGTCACCAAAAAAGTGTTGCTCTAACTTCTATATATAGAAGTCTTCTTATAATTTTGATGCAACCAACTTATTTTTTATATATTTTGTTATTTATTCTTTTAATAATGGAATTTTTAAAAAAGTATTTTGTAACTGAGGAATTTTGATAATTTGGGGATATTTTTCCCTGGGTCCAGTGGAAAGAAAGACTTTCTGGTTTTCTTTGTCCCTTTGGTTCCTTTTGTTTCAGGCACGGCAGCAGCCCGTGGCGCGCCGCACTGTTCATGTACTTCAGCATAGCGCAGGTGTGTGTGCTCCGGCGTGCTCCTCGTGTGGCGTCTGTGCTGGTTCTCCATGGCTGAGTCGTGCTGCCGTGAAGGAGTGCTGGCCGCACGTGGCACCGAGCAGCTCCCACTCACGGGCCCCCTGTCCCTCTGGCAGCTCCGATACTGTGATCCCCTTCCTCAGGAAATGCGTGGAACCCACAGCACAGCACTTCTCGGCGTGTTTGCAGGGTGATTTCCTAATAAAAGTCCACTCTGACTGTACACAGGAGCGGTGTGTGCTATGACGCCGGCCTCTGTCTCTTTCTTCCATCTGGTTCTCTTTTTGCTACCACATGTGGCACCAACATCTTTCCCCTGAGGTGTGATTCTGAGAGGTCTAAGTCACAGTGCCCCGCCCCTTCCCACGTGACTGAACTCATGCAGTGCCACTTTCTCTTGCGCTCAGAGCGAATTCTCCCCATTGAGGTTGTCAGACTGGGTTGGGGGGTTGGGGTGGAATGGGGGTTGCCACAGGCCATCTCTTCTGGCCACAAAGAGGAAGCCATCTGCAGTAGGAGAGAGTCTGGACATTCTGGAGGGAAGCAGAGCTGAGAAATGGAGAGATTCCTGTGGAGGTGGAAGGAGGATGAGAGAACACTTATCCTTTCACAGTTCCTGGATCCAGCCATAACTGAAGGTTGCCCACCCTTGCACTTTGCAGTTATGTGGAGCAATGAACTTCCCCTTCCCCTCCTCCCCTCCTCCTCTTTTTCCTCCCCTCCCCCCTTCTTCTTTCCCTTGTTGCTTAAACTCTTGTGTTTGGCTTTTTGGCCTTGCGTGGCAGCTCACTGTTTTCACAATTTAGTGTTGGGTGGGGCTCTGGCTCTCACAGGGCGAGCCTCAGGTTTGGAGCTTCTAACCTGACTTAGGTTTGGATATGCAACCTGATCTGTCAACCCCTTTGACCTCCCTGGGAATCTGGCCCTGAAGGCCCACCTGGAGCTCCCATCTGACCTGACAAAGGACAATTCTTAGACATTCTGAGCCTGATTTCCAAACCCTTTCTGAGTCAGACAGGGGTCCAGGATACCTGGGGACATCTGGTGTGTTTGGAGGGCAGCTAATCCTTAGGAGAGATGCCGTGGGCCTTCCCTGCTCCCCAGACCCACCTCTCCACCCCTACTCCTTACTGTCTTTGCCTCTCTCTCTTGCCTCTTGGGTCTACAGGCAGGCCTCTGAAGCCTGGTCTCTTCTGGAAACTTCTATGGCTCCATCCTCCCTTCCTCCACGGGGCCGCCTTCTCATCTGCCTGTGGCCCCTTCCTGGTTTCTGCCCCAGCCTGCACCTGCTCCTGTGGATGCTGGCCCCCTGCGTCCTCCTCAGAAGCTGCCCCAGTCCACATCCTGGCCTCCCTTCTTCCCTGAGTCAACATCCCCACAGCTCGTGTCTGCCACGTGCAGACAACTCCCACACTGTTTCCCAAGTCTGCTTTCCCCAGTTGTAGCACTTTCTGGGACTCCATCTGGATGTCCCACAGGTCAGAGTACATGTACCCAGGTGACCACATTAGCCCACTGATGGCTCCCACCCTGACCCTTCCCAGGCCCAGCGAGATACGAACCACCTCCAGCTGGAGAGCTCATGACCACATGCAAGCTACCAAGAGGGGCTGTCGTCACATGGCTGTCAGTGTCACTGTGGAACCCCGATCTGGGCCACCCGTGGGGCCTACTCTAATGAGGGCAGCATGTGACTTGAGGGAGAACAGGTGGGGATTTGGGTTATGTGTCTAGCTGAGCGGGGATGCAAGATTATGGCCCCAGCCATGCCCTGTCTCTCATAGGGGACGGTGAGGACACGGAGACTGCTGAGAGCCAGGGGAGCCCCTCCTACTAACTGAGGTGTCTGCTTGGGCTGGTTCTGGCTCCTGAGGGCTGGCCACTCCCCACAGCAACATCTTGAGCCAGTATAGGTCTTTGGGGCACCCCGGGAGCCCCACAGGACTGCAGGAGCTGGTAAGGTCTCAGCCACTTCCAGGATGAGGGTGGAGGGGGAGGGCAGGAAAGCCCATAGACCCACCCTGCTCCCCACGTGGGACCGCAGAGGAGGAAAGTACAGCTCCCTCCTGGCACCCAGCCAGCGAACACCCCTCATCGGACCTGCCCATTGCTGCTCAGAGGGTACCTCTGCCAAATTGGACACATTTCTGCCCGTGTCTTTCACACGCTGTCAAAAGTGTTTTCCTTGTATTTAATTCTGTCGCAGTTCTCTCTGTAGAACTTGTCAAAACAGCAAAGGAGAAATGTGGTGCTGTTTATGGAGAGAGGGTAAGGAATCCACCCAAAGCCCACCTGCTGTATCGCGAAGACCAAGCAGAAGTGCGTTCAAGTCCTACACCACGCCCCCTGGGCTACTGCCTGGGACCCAAGCAGGGCTTGATCATCCAAGACCCCATCAGGCAGCAAACCTGGAAGTTCTGTCAGTCTCAGCTGAGTCACCCCACCCAAAACCCTGCCTGGCTCAGCCCTGAGCAGGTACAGGAGGGAAGTAACGACGAACCCCTTCTCAACACCGTGGCAGAAGGTTAGGGTTGCCTCCATCATACAGACCGGGAGACTGAGGCCCAGAAGGCTGCCCAGGGTCACACAGAGGATTGGCTACGCAGTCAGGACTGACATCAGGCCTCTGGGCCCTGGGGTCTGTCCTCCTCGGGGTCAGCTCAGCTGAGCTCCATGGAGCAGTCAGACCTAGCGGGTGCGGAGGAGCCGGAGGAGAAGGCAGGAGCCCCCAGGAAGAATCTGTTGAGGCGCAGTGTGGACAGACAGGTCTCCTAGTGTTGGAACAGTCGGCCTGGTGGACACCACGGCCTTCTGGGAGGCTCTGACCGTTCCCTGAGGTCGCTGGGACCAGATCCAGACTCTGAAGTCTCCTCCAGGTAGAGGCAAGTTCTTCCCCGGTTCTGTGGCTTGTCCTGCCTGCGGGGCTGAGTCGGGTGGAGCATGTCCCTGCAGGGGGCTCTCCTTGCCCCCATCAGCTGGGTGGGGCTGCCGGCCTGATTCACTGTCACTAGAGCTGGCCAGGGCTCTTCCACAGGGTAGTTAGGCTTGTGCAAGATCCCTTTTCTAGACCCCTCAAGGCAGTGTCTTCCCCTGCACACATTTTTGTCAGTAACAGAAAGGACGAAGACATGGTCCTTGTACTGGGGCCACGGTCTCCAGAACATTCCTGGTCATTCTCTAGCCTCCAGCATACTTGTACCCTCCTGCTGGTCCCAGAGGGTAGGTGCTGGCGCTCTGTGGGATTTCTGTCAAGCTCAGGTCTGAGGTGGGGCCTGAAAGCAGCTCTGGGATCACTGGGAGAGACCCCCAAGCACATTTCCTTCTTGCAGTGCTGAATCCAGGCGTGTCTTTCTGGGGTTTGGAATCCCCTGACATTGTTTGAGAAATTATGTGTGTATGTGCCGGGGAGCGGGGATCTGTTTCCTGATCCGAAGCCCTCCCATGTTCTTGAGCAGTGAGGAAACTGCCTGACTCACAGTCCCAAAGTGTCCTATGAATATGACACTCATAATGGCCATGGGCTAGGCCATGAGAAGTTGACTGTCTCTGCTGCCATTTCCCTATCTGTTCTCATCCCCTCTGGGCATGAGGAGAAGTGAGACCTGTGTATTCCCCA